TTGGGGTCGAGCCCCTGCTGTCGGGGCCCGCCTCCGCTGATCCTGGCAGGAGGAGGGTGCGTCGTTCCCAAGTGCGGCTCGACATTCGCGGCGGATGGAACGGTGTGGCTGGGCGGCGGGTAAGGCGGTGGAGCGCTGTGGATAGAACAAGGTGGCGGCGGGGCTAGCGGTGGAGGAGGAGGCACAGCACGAGAGGCGGGGATCGAGTGAAAGGCTGAGGAGCTGGGCGGGCCCGAGCGGGGCCCCCAAACCCCCGAGGAGAGGGGGCTGAAGCCCCCTCGGCCTGGCTCCTGTGCCCAAGGGCCGAGGCGGTCCACCGACTGGGTCCCGCATCCCACTGGGCGATTCGGCACGTGTGCCGAAGTCGGCGCTCGGGTGCTCCCGCTGCGACTGTCGAGCGGCTGGGGGGTGCGAGCACCAAGGGTGAAGTGCCCCCCCCTTCCAGACATCCGCCGATGTGTTGCTTTCGGTCCGCGGCCCCAGGGGCTCCGACTCCTCCCCGGGGGCCAGCTCTTCCGCCTGGGGCGGTGGGCCCGGGGCCCGATGGCGGGCCCCGGAGGCCGAGATCGCGGTGTAAAACGCCCGGATAGAAGAAATCGGGCAGCCTCCTCCTCCTCCTCCTCCTCCTCCTCCTCCTCCTCCTCCTCCTCCTCCCTCTCCTCCTTTTCCTCCTCCTCCTCCTCATTATCCCCCTCCTCTTCTTTGGGCCCCCCGCAGCCATGTCGGCCCGAGCACCTCCCGGCCCAGGCCCGGGCCCCGCATGTCAGGGCCCCTTTCAGCGAGAGGACTCTGCTGAACCAGGCCACTGGTGGCGCGGCCGAGACACTTGCCGCCGTGGGCCGAGGCATGGTCCATGCTTCGTTCTCTCTATTGGTGGGATTTTCAAAGTTCTGGTCGGTCATTCCCCGGGTTCGGCACCGGCCGAGAATATCTTTTGCACCATGTTTAGGTCGGGCATGTCCCTCTGCAGGAGGAACATTCAGAGGTAGTCAAGAAGCAGTCTGGGGACGATTTTTCGATCATTGTTTGTCTATTTTTGAACCTGTTTTGGCTGTTTTTCATTTTTCCTCCCAAGCCCGTAGGAGGACATGCCCGACCTAGCACCATGTGTGCGTCCGCCCCGCAAAATGGCGATGCGCGCGCCCCGAACTGTGATGTTACTGTGTAGAAGCTCTGTGGCGGGCTCTCTCTGGCCACACCGCTCGGGAGTCGATGTGCTGTACAGTGGGGGCCCATGCCGCGAAACACCCTGCTTGCCTCCAGGGTGCCCTGGGTTTCTTGGGCTTCGATGGGTTTGTGCTTGGGAGAGCGTGACGTTCCCATACCAAAAATCCGTGGGCGTCCTGGGGTCTCAGGGCTGGGTTTCTCGTGGAAGGTTTCGTGTGGACTGGCCTCTCCACGGTGCAATATTTGTGTGCTACATGTTCGCGTCGGCCGTGGGCCTCCGACATCAGCACACAGTACTCGTGGGAGATCGACGATTGAAAACAAAATGCCCACTCCCCCACACCCGCGGGGTCGCCTTCCTATTGTGCGGGGCAGGCGAGGGCCGCGGGTCTGGCGAAGCTGTTCTTTCACCGCCTCCCCCCAAGAGCACGGTACAATTCCGCTTAGGAGGTCGGGAAGCGGCTGAGCCGGACTCCGCACAGCAGAAGGATGACATCCTTTCGCAGGAGACCGGGAAGCGTCTGCGCCTGACTCCGCCCGGAAGAAGGAGGACAGACATACAAAAGGCTACAGCCCGCGCGCCCTGACCCCGTGCGGGTCGGCCATCTTGGCCAGACACGGCGCGCGCCTCGCCTCGCCTCGCCGGGCCTCGCCCTTCGTGAGAGCTGCTGCGTCCCATGGCTCAGGGGGGCCCCGAGCCTGCGCTCCTCCCGTGGCGCTCGCGGGCCGCCCCGCGGCCCCCGCGCGCCCGGCGCCGCGGGGCCCTCGCGGAGGCAAGGCCCCTGCGGACGGGGCCTCTGCAAGCGGGGTGGCAGCTGCGGGTGCGGTGCCACCTGGTGCCCTCGAGAGAGCCGACTTGGCGGTCCCCCCCCCCCCCCCCCCCCCCCCGGGGAGGAGCTGTGATGATGCGCCGGCGAGCCTGTCGCTCCGACGCGCCGCGCGCTGGTGCGAGGCGCGTGCCCCGCCGCCCTTTGTGCTGCCACCCCGTTGACTGACGCCCCGTTTGCGAGGCCCCCGCGGAGGCCCGGCCTCCCCGCGGCGGTGGCGCTCGCGGGCGCGGCCTGCTGGGCGCCGGCGGCCGCGCCGCGCAGCGCGCCCGCCATGGCGCCGCCGCCGCCCGCGGCCGCCAGGCGGGGCCGCCTGCGATCCGCCTCGGCATCGAGTCGATTCGACGCGCCGGCTGGCCCCGAGATTTTTGATTCGATTGGCTCCGATTCGATTCGATTCCGAGTCGATTCCGATCCGATTTCACGATTCGACTGGATCCGATTTTTGATCCGATTCGAATGGATCCGAGTCGATTCCGATCCGATCCGATTTCACGATTTGATCCGGATCGGGCCTGCCAGGTACCCGTCGCTGTGGGCCTTCCTGTCGCACGCGGACGAGTCGTACCACACGGACCTCAGGGGAGGAAGGGGTACCGATCCTGGTACCTTTCTGTCGCTTTCGCCTTTTGGGGCATCCTGGCAGGCCCTCGTCGCCACGGCTGAATTCGCCTCGACATCCCGGTCAGAACGCACCCTGGGAGAGGTCCGGGGAGTGGTGGTATCGATGTTCTAGATCACCGCCAGGGGCGCCGCGAAAATAATCGCGCTTCGCGCGTCGCGGCCAGAGCCGCCAAGCTGGCCTTCTCCAGGGCAGCGCGGGGTCGCGAAGACAACCTCGCGTCGCGCATCGCGCCCCGCTGTGCGCGCGGTTAGGTGACCTAGGTGTTTCTTCGGCAACTACCATTAAGTCGGGCATGTCCCTCCACAGGAACAATATCAAAAAATAGTCAGGGGACGATTTTTCGATTATGTTTGGATTTTTATGGGGCATTGCTTGAGCATTTTTTGGTTATCGTCAAACATCCGGCTGTAGGAGGGCATGCCCGACCCAACGCTGGGGCTTGAGGGGCCATAACGTGATCGTTTTTTATTCATTGTCTTGCCGATCGGCGCGGGCCCTCGAGCCCCCCCCCTCCCCTTGGCTGTTTCTGGCGCCTGCTTCGAGCAGGCGGGAGTCTCCCCCATGATGCACGCACTGCTCCAAACAGCCGCACCAAGCAGGGGTCCAGAGCCAGACCCCCCCTGGCCCTCCCCTTCCCCCCCTTCCGCTCAACGTCGAAACGCCCAACATAAAAGAACGTTCACCGCGGCGCACGGCGGCACGCCCAGACCCCCCCGACGCCGTGCTCTTTGCGCACCACCTCGGCCCCCAGGGGTCTCGACCCTCGGTTTCTCCTCCCGAGTCGTTCGAGGATCCTCAGGACGTGTGTTGGCCCAGTGTGTGCTTCCATCACGGCGGGAGGGCTTTTTGCTATTTTTGGCCTCTGGACGCCCTTGCCGGGCCCGGGGACCGTGATACAACTTCTCAGGATGAGCAAGCCGTCCCAGGAAATGGGTCGAGACCTTTGGGGGTCGGCATTCTGATCAAATCTTGACCCCGTTCAACCCAACCAGTCGATCATCACATCGCCTTCGTCGCAGTGAAGGGCCTCAGTTGTCAAACGCACGAAGGCGCTGACACACGTTCTGAGATCATCGAGTCGTTTTGTTGACGGTCCCGGGGCCCAGGAAGAGCCCCCAGAGGCTGAAACCAGCGACCTCCCCCCCCGCCGTGATTTTCTGACAGCGCGAGGGGTGCTCTGCGCCCCATGGTTTAGCTCTTCGTAAGCTCTTCTGCGTCCCAGGGCTTGGGGGGGCGCTGACCATGCGCGACGTTGGAGTCCTCCTGAGTCCTTTCTGGACGCTCCCGGGGCGCGGGAAGGGCCCCCAGGGGCCGAAAATAGCGCCCCCCCCCCGCCGTGATTTTCTCACAGCGCGAGGGGGTCTGGGCAGACGGTTCTCCGTCGAGGCCCTCGCCCGCTCCCCCCCCCCCAGGCGCGGGTTGCAAACTGCACCCTCTGCAGACTACACCCTCTGGAGAGCCGCCGCGTTCTGCTCCCCCAGCGGGGAGTGAGTGAGGAGGAGGAGGAGGAGGAGGGGGAGGAGGAGGAGGAGGAGGAGGAGGAGGAGGAGGAGGAGGAGGAGGAGGAGGAGGAGGAGGAGGGAGGAGGAGGAGGAGCAGCAGCAGGACCTGCCGTTTGGCGACGTGCGGGCGGCGCTCCTCACGTGGTACCGGGTGAGCCGGCGGAGGCTGCCGTGGCGGGGCGACCTTCCTCCGTTGGGTGGGCACATGCGAGCCCTACCCCACCTCCCCAGGATCTCTGCGGGGGGGAGGTGGGGCTCACTCCGCTCGGGAGATCCCGAACGAAGTGAAGCCCACCTCCCCCCCTAGAGATCCTGGGGAGTTGGGGCGCAGGGCTCGCACGTGCCCTCCCGCCCGTACACCGGGTCGACCGCGGGCATGGCCAGGGCGGGCGCGGAGGCGAGGGCCCCCGCGCCGCCGCGGGGTGCTGACGCCGGTGGCCGCAGAAGACAAATCATGGAAGAACCGGCGGCGAAGTCCGAGGCCTGCCTTCGCGGATCCACGATTCGAGCAATGCGATGGGCGGCGGGGGCAACTAGGGCTTGGAGTTCGTCGAGCGTGTGGCGAGGTCCGAATCCTCTGCCCCCGCCGCCCATCGATTCAAGAGGAGCGATGGTTGGTGTGGGTAGGGTTCGGATGTCGCCACCTAACACATCTACACTGTCGGTGTTCCGCGCAGATTTCTTGGATCGGCGATGGGACACCTCTCCGTGGCGCGCGGAGCGCGCCAGGGGCGGCGCCAGAGGCGCCGCCAGGGGGGTCCAGCGCCAGTCGAAGGGATTCGCACGGAGCTCCGAAAGTGTATGTTTATGCCGCTTTTTCATCCTCTAGGTGCGCCGGCCAACCCCGTGTCTCCTTACGGCGTGTGGGTGTCGGAGGTCATGTGCCAGCAAACGCGCGTGGAGGCAGTCATCCCGTATTGGCTCGCGTGGATGGAGGCGTTCCCCACGGTGCAGGCGCTCGCCGAGGCGACCGAGGAGCAGGTCAACGCCAGGTGGGCAGGGCTGGGTTTCTACCGCCGCGCGCGCATGCTCCACAACGGCAGCAAGCAGGTGCTTTTGGATGCGTCTCCTAGATTCCGCATCGGCGCTGGTATATCTGTGGTCGAAAACAGGGCTAATCCGGCATACTCCAGTTCAATTCCGCTTAATTCTGTTCGAACTGGCTTAATCCGGCTTGAGCCTGGGTTTAATCAGAGCTCATCACGGCTCAAAGGCCACAGTAGTCAGGCACGAGCGTTCAGAGGCCACTCCAGCTGGCGCCTACGGATACGTCTGTGGGCCTCCATGGTGCGACCTCTTGCGTTGTATGTGCTCGAGGTTGCACCTTTGTCATCTGGCGTGATTGCTCCTTGATCATGGGAACAAGCAGTGACACAAGCAAAAAAAACCGGGAGGTCCGCGCGGATTGCTCGGATCGGCCCTGGACACCCCCTCCCCAGCGCGCGGGGAGCGCGCCAGGGGCGGCGAGGGAGGCGCCGCTCGGGGGCCCCAGCGCCGATCCGAGAGATCCGCGCGGACCTCCGAGTTTTTATGTTTATGCCACTTTTTGTTCCCCTACTGTGTCACTGTTTGTTCTCCTGTGGTCGGTCTTAGGGGTCCCTCGTCGCTCCTGCGAAGACCTCCCAAGAGAGCTTTTTCTGCTTGTGTCACTGGTTTGTTCTCCTGTGGTCGGTCTTGGTGGTCCTTCGTCGCTCCTGCAAGAGGCCTCCCGAGAGAGCTGCCTCCCCTGAAGGTGCTGGGCGAGTTCCGCGGGGAGCTGCCCCGCACCCTCGAGGAGCTCCGGAGCCTGAGGGGCGTGGGCCCCTACACCGCCGGAGCGCGGGGGGAGCGGCAACCGGCCACGCACAGAGGGGGGCGTGGGGGAGGGGGGGGCTTCTTGGGAGCTGTGGGCAAAGAACGCGCAGGCTGTGGAGCAAGAACACACAGTGTGTTCTTCCAACGCGCAGTGTTTTTTTCCACAGACTGTTTTTGCTTTTGCGTTTTTTTTTTTTTTTTTTTTTTTTTTTTTTTTTTTTTTTTTTTTTTTTTTTTTTTTGTGTGTGTGTGTGTCTTTTGTTTCCACTGTTTTTTGTGTGTTCTTTCCACAGTGTGGTGTTTTTGTTCCACAGACCTCGCTTCTTGGAAGGCGCCAGCCTTGTCTGTAGATGTAAAGACAGCGCCTTCTAAGAAGCAGCCTTCTTCTAAGAAGCCTTCCCCCCTCCACTTACCCCCCACTGCGCGCCGCCAAAAACACGACGATCACGACCAAAATGCCGCGGGATTTTGGTGACGCCGACCTTGGTCGAAGAAAGAGACAAGGCCATAAACATCAACTTTTGGCGCTCCGCGCAGATTTCTTGGGTCCGCGCTGGGCCCTGCCAGGCTGCGCCTCGGGCGCCGCCCTGGGCGCGCTCCGCGCGCCAGGGCTGGGGGTCCATCGCGGATTCAAGAAATCCGCGCGGAGCGCCAAAAGTTTATGTCCATGGCGTGTTTTCTTCTTCTAACCTTGGTCATGGCCCATGCTCGGAGGATGAAAAGGTACCCATACGGCTACCCTTCGCCCGTCCCGTTTCCCCTTTTTTCGCCCCCCCGGGAGGCCCGCGTCGCCGACGTTGGATTCGCCTCGAAATTCTGGACAGCACGCCCCCCGAGGAGAGGTCCAGGGAGTATAGCGTGATCGGTACCTTGTGATTTCCCCGCGCGCCGCCGTCGTCGATCCGTGAGGATGGTCGGCGAATTGGCGATGACCAAGGTGGACGATGGCCAAGCTCCGTCTTGGCTCGGCATCACCCGCGGATGCTTCTACTGTGTGTGTGTGTGTCGCCCCCCTACGGGCGACGCGGGCGCTCAGAGAAGTCTTACAGTACCTATTCGGTGGCGGGCGCCTTCTGGCCATACCGCCGGGGCAGCGATACGCTCTAAGATGCTTGTGCTGTATGGTCGATTCGGTGCTCGCACTGTCAATGCTCTGCTCTCCTATAGGGCTTTGCAGCGTCGTCCGCCCCTTGCTTCTGCATGCCCGAGCCCCGTAGCTGCCTGCACGCCCTCCTGTGTTCAGCTGCCTTCTTGCTCCTATCGACATTGCGCAGGCCTGACGAAAGCTTGAGAGGTCCCTCCCACTGTGTGCTTGTGCTGTATGTTCGGTTCGGACGTGCGCTTCCAAGGGGGTCGCCTAGTACTACTACGGTCCCGCTTATGATTAAGAAACCTCCACCCGAAAAGCTGGCCCAGCGTTTCTTAACCAACTTGCCGGAAAACTGGACTTAAGCGGATAGGTAGCCTTGGATCCAAAATGATGAATAACGTACGTTCCTGGCTCCAAAAGCTGGCCCAGCGTTTCCTGAAGAAACTTCTTAAAAGCTGGCCCATCCTCCCCCCTCCCTCCCTCCTCCCCCATCCTCCCCCCTCCTCCTCCTCCTCCTCCTCCTCCTCCTCCTCCTCCTCCTCCTCCTCCTCGTAATCACACTTTTGACTGTCTGTCCTTCTGCCCTCCCACTGGTCGTGGTCACCGCTTTCTTTCCCCTCCAGGAGCCGTCGCCTCCATCTGCTTCGGGGAGCCGGCGCCCATCGTGGACGGCAACGTCCTGCGCGTGCTCGCCCGGCTGTGCGCCGTCGCTGCGCACCCGCAGCAGCCGGCCTTCTGCGCCGAGGGCGGCCGCGGGCGAAGAGTGCATCCGTATCCCCAGAAGGCCCTCGAGGCACGAGAACTCATGACTAGGGGGCCGCCTGCGAACCCTACCCCTACACCCCACGATTTCTGAGGGGGAGGGTGGGGTTCACTTCGTTCGGGAGCTCTCGAGCGAAGTGAACCCCACCCTCCCCCTCAGAAGTCGTGGGGGGTAGGGGTAGGGTTCACAGGCGGCCCGGCCCCCTAATGACGGGCGCTTCTCCGCCAGGTTTCGGCCTCGGGGGGCCCCCGAATTGCGGGGCCTCGGGGCTGTCCACTGGACGGCTCAGGAGGAAGAGCCGGTCCCTGGGAAGGGGTCGAGACCTCCAGGCGGCGACGCCAAGGAAGAAGGCATGGCGTTGGGGGGATCTGGGTCTGCGGCCTCGCGGGCCAGGGGCCCCCGGGATCCGCGACCCCGCGGACACGGGGAGTTTTTTTTTCCGCGGAGGCCCCGCGCAGAGCGTCTCCGTGCGACCGCGTATCCGCGGGACCGCGCCTCAGAATTCAGGCCGCGAGGGCGCGGATACGGTCGAGGCCCATGCCAAGAAACCCCTTGCTTGCCTCCAGTGTGCCCTGGGTTTCTTGGGTTTCGATGGTTTTGCCATGAAAAGCGTGACGTTCCCACACAATCCATGGACGTCCTGGGGTCTCAGGGTTGGGTTTCTTGTGGAAGGTTTCTTGTGGACTGGCCCTCACTGTACGGATGTGATCGCCGCTCGCGAGGCAGGTTGGCGTGGCAGCTGGCCGAGAAGCTCGTCAAGGCCTGCGATCGCCGGCGAACCCTGCGGCCAGGAACTCTGGCTTGGCGTGTCGCGGAGCCAGTTTTTTCGGGTAGCACTTCGTGGAAGCCTTTGCGTATCACCGATTTTTTTTTTTTCGAGTACACTATGGTGCGCTAGCGTCTGGCAGTCGATGAGGGAGCGCCAGTTTGGCGTCATTGGCGCCGGTTCGCGTCGATTCGCGTCGGTTAGCGTCGATTCGCAAGAGCCAGCAAGATGGCACGGGAGGCTCCCGTGAGTTGTCACCGAAGATTCTGGCCCACCACGTTTTGGCGCGACACGCTATCCACGTCCCCATTGCCAGGCGTCAGCGTCCCGAGCCTTTCCCCGCCTCCCGCCCCGCGGAGCGGAGCGACACGCTATCCGCTCGCAGGGCACAGCGTGTCGCCGGGGCCGCCGCCGCGGCACGCTCAGCAAGAGTTCCCGACCGTACCCCTCCTCGGAGGCGTGCCCGTGGGGGAAGGCGCAAAGGGGCGGGCCTTCTCAGAAGGCGCGGATATTTCTTCCGGCCTTCTGAGCATTTCTCTCGGAGCCTTCTCCGAAGCCAGATGGGGGCTTCCGAGAAGCTCCGCCGCCTTTGAGAAGGCCTGCCCCCTCTGCCTTCCACCCCTAGGCGCACCGCCGACCTCGGTGGTCCAGTCGACGCCGGGGCATCGGAGACCCCCGCTGCGTTCCCAGACCCTCTCGCGACGCGACAAAAAATCAAGACACGGGAGGCTTTCCGCTACAGTGGAGACCCATGCCAAAAAACACCATGCTTTCCTCCAGGGTGCCCTGGGTTTCCTGGGTTTCGGTGGTTTTGCCATGCAAGGCGCGACGTCCCCACCAAAAATCCAGGGACGTCCGGGGGTCTCAGGGTTGGGTTTCTTGTTGAAGGTTTCTTGTGGTCGGGCCCCCACTGCAGGTTCGGCCTCTGGGGGCCCTTACCGGCCGGGCCTCTGGACCGTCGAAGAAAGCGGCCAGGGAGGAAGAGCGGGTCCCAGGGCCAGCGGCACCGTAACGGGTACCCATCGGTCGTTGAAAGTAGGTATGTTTGGATTCCCAGATTTCAATCTATTTTGAGCGCCTTCCTAATTCAATGCTCGAGTGGCTTCACCTTTCCCGTCCTCCTCAGGGGGCGGACGGAACCCAATCTGCTTTCAACCCATCCCTACTTCATGTTTCGACCTGCTTCTTCCGACCGACAGGTGCTCCTTAACGGGTGCTTTCTGGAGATTCGCCGGAAGTTGCCACTTGAGGGCCTCTCTCTGGCACTGCAGCGTTTGCCCACATCGGGGAGGGTGGGGTTCGCCGGGTCACTGGCCAACGTGCCCGTTCGCGGAGTCCCCGTGAGAGGGGCGCGGGCAGGGAAGGGGTCCATACCTCGGGGGGGCCACGCCGTGCAGGAACAAAAACACCACGTCGAGGATCCGGGGCGCTCGCCCGGCTGCAGCCATCACCCTCACGCGCGGAGCCCCAGCCGGCCTCTCAGAAGCCCGACTCGCAGGGTGTGCAGTCAGCCCGCATAGCAAGGATGGGCAACCTTCCCAAGGGCACCCTTGCATCCTCGTCCCCTCGGTCCATCCTTGGCTGGAGGGTTTCTCCGAAGGGCTTAGGCGACTCCTCCCCCTCCTCCTCCTCCTCCTCCTCTGCCTACTCCTCCTCCTCTTTCTCTTTCTCCTCCTCCTCCTCCTCCTCCTCCCCCTCCTCCTCCTCCTCCTCCTCCTCCTCCTCCTCCTCCTCCGCCTGCTCCTCCTCCTCCTAGGGGTCGCCTACGGCCACGGGCGAAACACCAGGCACCTCGCCCCCTCGGTCCACCCTTGGCCGCCTCCGTGGGCCGCGCCCCGCCCGCAGAGCCTCGGAGTGGGCGCCCAGGGCCCTTGCGCCCTCCCCTCGCGCAGCCCTCTGCTGCGGGCCGGCGGCAGGGCTTCTGCCCCAGACCCCGACGTCGTGCCTTCTGACCGGCGTGCAGCCCCGAAGAGGTCTTTCCGGGGGGGGAAAGAAACAAACACACAGACACAACCGATCTCGTCGACTCCCAGGACCATATGTGAGAAGATATGGGAACGGGGGGAAAGACGAACGCCCAGAACACCTGGGAAAATATGGGGCATCCTGTTGTTTGTGTCTGTTTGTTTGTGTGTCCGAGGGCCCTTCCGTCTTGACCGCTTCCGTTCGGGGACTCCGCTTTCCACCCCGAGCCCCGGGGGCCGGCGGCTCCTCTTCCCGGGGGCCGCTTCCTGGGGACCGGCTTCCTTTCGTGTGCGGGCAATCTTTATACCCAGATCCAGTGCGTCTTGGACTTTCTTGGGGGGGGCACCGCAAGGCCGAGGCGCGTTGGATATGGGCAACAATCTGGCCTCTACAAGGTTAAGTCGGGCCTGTTCCTCTACAGGAGGAACATTCAAAAATAGAAAAATAGTCTGTGGACGATCCTTTGACAATTTCCGAATATTTTTTTGAATATTTCGTCCAAACTATGCCTGTATGGGGGACACGCCCGACCCAACTATAGGAGCCAGATTCTTATCCATGTCCAGTGCGTCTCGCGGTTCTGGGGAAGGGGGCCCGAAGCTCCCAGCTGCGGTGGATACGGACACAAGCCTTGCCCGCATCCTGGTCCTGGGGCCCGGTGAGGGCCCTCAGAGGCCGCGAACGGCCGAGCACGCTCCGTCATGCCTCTCTCGTGACCCACTGGGGCCGGGGGTTCGCGGGTGGCTGCCGACGAGGCGGACGGCGGCGCCCACGCGGGGGAGCTGAACCAGGCGATCATGGAGCTGGGCGCGACGCTGTGCGCGCCGAGCGGCACCGGGGCGGACCCGCGCGACCCCCTGGGGCCGTTCTACAAGTCCACCAAGCCAGGGGCGGCGAGAGGGGGGGGGGGATAGCAGGGGAAGCAAGAATGACATAAACATCAAAGCTCGGAGGTCCGCGCGGACGTCCGAGTTTTTCTGTTCATGCCATTCTTCGCTCTCCTAGATAGGCTCAGGGGGAGACCCGGAGGCCCTGGCGTCGCAATTTTCCAGGACGGGCGATTTTTGCTGGTTTCAGGCCCCAGGACCGTCACGGATGGGCGCGGCTCGAAAAATGCGGAAGAAATATCCATCTCCTTGCGGCAAGTCCCGACATTGTGCCAGCCCAGCATTGTGGGTGGTGACAATTCGAGGGGACACAGGAGGCCGTCACGTGTGGCACCTCGTGTCTCCAGGCTTGGGAGAGCCGTGATGAGTATGATGATGATTCTCTCATGGCCTTCGGCCCATCCCGCTACCGTGCCTGGGTTGTGGGTCAGAGTTCTCAGGGGTGCTTCTTCGGGTCTTTTCGGAGCGTCCTCGGGGGCCTCTTGGGAGCCTTTTGGGGGCCTCCTGGGGGCCTCTTGGGGGCCTCTTGGGGCCTCCTGGGGGCCTCTTTGGTCTCTTGGGCGCCTCTTTGGGCCCTCTTGAGGCCTCCTGGGGGCCCCTCGGGGCCGAGGGCTCGAAATGTCCGTTCGGGTTCTGGGCCTCTTCTTGGGCCGTCTTGGGCGCCTCTTGGGCCGTCTTGGGGCACTCTTCGGGGCCTCTGGGGCCGCCTCGTGGGCCGTCTTGGAGCGTCGGGACGCCGTGGAGGCGGGGTCGCCCCAATCCTGCAGAAACCAAAACTGGAAGTCAATTATTTTTGCTTCATGGGGCTCTCTCAGGAGGCCTCCTGGGGCGTTTGGGAGGCTCCTGGGGTCGTCTTGGGCCATCTTGGACGTCTTGGAGCGATCTTTCAGCGGCTCGGGCCCCTCTTGGGCCGTCTGCGGGGCCTCGTGGGTGCCTCCTGGACTTTGGAGCCGTCTTGGGCCTGAGAAAGTCATGCGCGAGGACGCCCCAGGCACGCGGGAAGCGCCGAGAGATCTGGCAATGTCGGGTCTGGGCCCCTGAATTACTCGTCAGGATTGAAGACTGAGGCTCAAGGGATTAGGCAAAGGATCTGAGGACACGCCCACTCCGTGCCCAGACGCACGGTGGCGGACGAGGATGATTGGGGTGATGACGATGGTGATGATGATGGTGATGATAATGATGATCTGCTGATGATGATGATGGTGATGATGTTGATGACGATGGTGATGATGATGATGCTGATGCTGATGATGAGGCTGATGATGGTGATGGTGGTGGTGATGATGCTGATGATGACGATGAGGATTATGATGGTGATGATGCTGCTTATGATGATGATGATGATGCCGATGCTGGTGCTGATGTTGATGCTGATGATGAATATTAGGATGATGATGGTGATGCTGATTGTGACGATGATGATGGTGATGATGATGACGATGATGATGCTGCTGATGTTGATGCTGATGATGCTGCTGATGATGATTATTATGATGATGATGCTGATGCTGATGCCGATGCTGCCGATGATGAGGATGATGATGCTGCTGATGATGATGACGATGATGACGATGCTGATGTTAATGATGATGCTTATGACGACGATGATAACTGTGGTGGTGGTGATGGTGTTTATGGTGGTGGTGATGTATATGATGATGCTGACGAGGCTGCTGATGATGATGATGCTACTGATGATGATGAAGAGGATGGGGATGGGGATTATGATTAGGATGAGGATGCTAATGCTGATGCTGATCATGCTGATGTTCATGATGCTGATGGCGATGCTGCTGCTGAGGGTGATGCTGTTGATGCTGCTGATGATGATGCTGCCGGTGATGATGATGATGCTGATGATGATGATGTCGCTGATGATGATGATGATGATGATGATGATGATGATGATGATGATGATGATGATGAGGCTGCTGATGATGACGCTGACGCTGATGCAGATTCTGTTGCTGCTGCTGATGATGGCGATGCTGATTATACTGATGATGGTGATGATGCTGCTGCTGATGATGCTGCTGATGATGATGGTGATGTTGCCGATGCTGATGATGCTGAAGATGATGGTGATGGTGATGCTGATGGTGATGAGCATTATGCTGATGCTGATGATGATGATGATTCTTATGCTGATGCTGATTATACTAATGATGATGCTGTTGCTGCTTATGATGCTGATGCTGATGCTGATGATGATGATGATGATGATGCTGCTGCTGATGCTGATGCTGACGCTGCTGCTGATGCTGATGATGATGACGACGGGGATGATGATGATGATGATGATGATGATGATGATGATGATGATGATGATGATGATGGTGATAATGACGATGACTTTGATGCTGATGATGCTGCTGATGATGATTATTATGATGACGATGCTGATGCTGATGCTGATGCTGCCGATGATGAGGATGATGATGATGCTGCTGATGATGATGACGATGCTGATGTTAATGATGATGCTTATGACGACGATGATAACTGTGGTGGTGGTGATGGTGTTTATGGTGGTGGTGATGGATATGATGATGCTGATGCTGATGATGATGATGATGATGATGATGATGATGATGATGCTACTGATGATGATGAAGAGGATGGGGATGGGGATTATGATTAGGATGAGGATGCTAATGCTGATGCTGATCATGCTGATGTTCATGATGCTGATGGCGATGCTGCTGCTGAGGGTGATGCTGTTGATGCTGCTGATGATGATGCTGCCGGTGATGATGATGATGATGATGATGATGATGATGATGATGATGATGATGATGATGATGATGATGATGATGATGATGATGATGATGATGCTGATGATGATGATGATGATGATGATGATGATGTCGCTGATGATGATGATGATGATGATGATGATGATGATGATGATGAGGCTGCTGATGATGACGCTGACGCTGACGCTGATTCTGTTGCTGCTGCTGATGATGACGATGCTGATTCTACTGATGATGGTGATGATGCTGCTGTTGATGATGCTCCTGATGATGATGATGGTGATGTTGCCGATGCTGATGATGCTGACGATGATGGTGATGGTGATGCTGATGGTGATGAGCATTATGCTGATGCTGATGATGCTAATGATGATGCTGTTGCTGCTTATGATGCTGATGATGTTGCTGATGATGATGCTGCTGCTGATGCTGATGCTGACGCTGCTGCTGATGATGATGATGACGACGGGGATGCTGCTGCTGAGGGTGATGCTGTTGATGCTGCTGATGATGATGCTGATGATGATGATGATGATGATGGTGATAATGACGATGACTTTGATGTTGCTGATGCTGTTGCTGATGATTATGATGAGGGTGATGATGCTGATGATGATGGTGCTGGCGATGACGATGCTGATGCTGATGGTGCTGCTGCTTAGGATGATGATGCTGATGACGATGATGCTGACGACGATGATGCTGATGATGGTGCTGATTGATGCTGATGCTGATGATGGTTATGGTGACGATGATGATGATGATGATGATGATGATGATGCCTCTGCTGATGATGGTGATGTTGATGATGATGTTGCTGATGATGATGGTGCTGCTGCTGATGCTGATGCTGATGGTGATGATGCTGATGATGCTGATGCTGCAACTGCTGATGCTGGTGCTGATGCTGATGCTGATGCTGCTGCTGCTGATGATGATACTGATGATGCTGATGATGCTGATGCTGCTGCTGCTGATAAGACGATGATGATGAGGATGATGATGGTGGTGGTGATGATGCTGACGATGCTGATGCTGCTGCTGATGCTGATGATGTTGATGATGATGATGCAGATGATGATGATGCTGATGATGATGCTGATGATGATGATTATGCTGCTGCTGCTGCTGAAGATGATGATGATGATGATGATGATGATGATGATGATGATGATGATGATGATGATGATGATGATGATGATGATGATCATGACGATGACGATGATGATGATGATGACGAGGAGGAGGAGGAGGAGGAGGAAACTCGTTTGGGCCGTCTCGGGGCTCTCCTGGCCTCCTGTGAGACAGTCTTGGGGGTCCCTTGGGGCCCTATTGGGCCGTCTTGGAGCCCTCTTTCGCCGGCTTGGGGCTCATTTGGGCCTTCTTGGGGCTCTCTTGGCCGTATGGTGGGTGTCTTGGGGCCGTCGTGGGGCCGTCTTGGCGCCGTCTTGGGCCGTCGAAGGACCTTCTAAGGCCGTCTTGGGTCCCACGGGAGGCCCTCTTGGGCCGTCGTGAGGCCGTCTTGGATACCTCTTGGGCCATCGTGGAGTCCTCTCGGGCTGTGATGAGCTCACGGCAGCCCGAAACGCGAGAATGCGAAAATCATTTGACAGTCCAACGGACTTCAATGATTTTGGCTTCTTCTGGCCCTGTTGGAGGTCCCCTTGTGGCCATTTTGGGCCCTTTTGGAGGCATCTAGGGCCGTCTTCAATCAATATTCAGCCGCCTTTGGGCCATCTTGGGCCGTCTTCGAGTCATCTTGGGCCATCTTGGTGTCTTTGGTTGCCTGCACGGGCCGTCCTGTAAGCTCGTGAAGCAGATCCATAGTTTTTCATGAGGGCTCGTGGCTTAGGAGGTCCTGGAGCGCTTGGGAGCAGCGCCTGGGAATGTGGGGAGTGCACGATCCTGAGCAGGTGCGCGTGAGATGAGGGTCTAGGAGTTAGCAGCCATGCGGGAAGTGCACAATCCTCGAGCGGGCGCGCATGTCAAGAGGGTTCAGGCATTAGCTGCCATGCGGGAGTTGCTCCAACCTCGAGTGGGCACGCACTGAAGAGGGGTTCAGGCATGTGCTGCCATGTGGGAAGTGCACCATCCTCGAGTGGGCACGCATGGAAGAGGGGGTTAGGCATTAGCTGCCATGCTGGAAGTGTACCATCCTCGAGCGGGCACGCGGGAGGTGGCCTCGGAAAGGAGGGGCGATACATGCAGCAGTCGGCGTCGAGAGGGGGTGGTCCCGTATGAGAATCCGAGAAGCCCTGCCAGACAGCCCTTGGCATTCCTCCACGCTTCAACGTGCCAGGGGGGCACGGTGGCGGATTGGGTCCAGGGCTCTGGTAGAGCTGTTCTGTTGTTGCCCAATCTTGTATTCTTCCCCAGGTAGGCTTGCCGAATGGGTTCTTAGTTTGTTAAAATTTAGTGCCTCTGATTCTTACGTTGCCCGTTGCTTGGAGGTTCCCCGGGTTTCTTGGGTTCCTTGGGTTCCTCGGGTTCCTCGGGTTCCCCGGGGTCTTCGGGTTCCTCGGGTTCCTCGGGTTCCTCGGGTTCTTCCTCGGGTTCCTCAGGTTCTTCCTCGGGTTTCCCTTGGGTTCCTCGGGGTTCTCGGTTTCCTCGGGTTCTTCCTCGGGTTCCCCGGGTTCCCCGGGTTCCCCGGGTTCCCTGGGTTTCTGAGGTTCCTCGGGTCCTGCGAATTTCTTCGGGTTCCCTGGGGTTCCTCGGGTTCCCCGGGGTCCTCGGGTTTTCCTCGGGCTCCCCGGGTTCCGCGGGTTCCTCAGGCGATGCCGAGCGATGCCGAGCGATGCCGAGCGCTGCCGAGCAGTGCCGAGCGGCGCCGAGCAGCGCCGAGCGCTGCGCCCGTGCAGAGCGGAGGCGCTCCCCTCACCGGGGGGTCTCGCCGGGCTCCTGCCGCGACGTCGGCTGCCAGGGGTGGGCCGTCGGCCGTCGGCCGCGCGCTCTCCTCGCCGAATCGGGGCCTGCGTGCCCCGGCCGTTTCCCCGGAGCGTGCGGCGTCGCCGTCGGGGGCCTGGCTCGCCCGTCTGCCGGCGCGGGGCAGTCGTCGTCGGTTCCAGGCCAATGTTCGCCACGGAGGATCGGGGATCGAGGAGGATCGAGGATCGAGGGGGGCCTCGCTGCGTCTTGAGGCTGTCGGGAGGAAAGTCCTGGAGGATCGAGGAGCATCGAGCATCGAGGACCGAGGGGGGGCCTTCTTTGCACATAGGCGCTGGCGCAGTTTTTGGCTTCCCTGGGCCCTCCGCGAGGCGTGGGACTGCCAGGGAACGACTGGGGATGAGAGCTGGTCCCAGAGAGAAGCCCCAGAATGCAGGTCCCGTTTCCCTCGGGACCCGTTCCCTCCCCCTCCTCCGCCTCCTCCTCCGCCTCCTCCTCCCTCCTCCTCCTCTCTCCTCCCTTCTCCCTCCTCCCTTCTCCCTCCTCCCTCCTCCTCTCTCCTCCCTCCTCTCTCCTCCCTCCTCCCTCCTCCTCCTCCTCCTCCTCCTCCTCCTCCTCCTCTTCCTCCTTTTCCTCCTCCTCCTCCTCCTCCTCCTCCTCCTCCTCCTCCTCTTCCTCCCCCCCGACGTCATGATTCTTTCATGACGTCGCCCCCCAGAGGTCTGGACCGGCTTCGCTTGCCGGGGACCAGCGTTTCATCCCGAGACGTTCTCTGACAGTCCCTGGGCCCAGTGAGGGCCCCTGGAGGCCGGAAATGGGCAAGAACCTCCCGTCATGTTGTTCTCACGGCGCGAGGGGGCTTGGGTTTCTTTCATGCCAAGCTGCCCCCTCTCCCCTCCCCCCCCTGAGCCTGTCCCTTAGGTGTTCGATCATGGACGCTTGTTTTGCCGCAGCCATCCAGCTTCCGCTCCGAACACCGCAGGGAACCGCAGCAGAGCGCCGGAAGCCGCCGAAGTCCGACAGAACACCGCCGGAGGCCGCCGGAAAGCGTCCGGGGAGGCCGCCGAAGGCCGCCAACGGCGGCCCAGGAGCGAGGGGTGACGAGGCTGCCCCTGGTCGAGCACGCAGTGCCCCCCGCCCCGCCTGTCGGTGCCCCTCGCCCAGATCGGCGCCGACGCCCTGCAGGCCCGGAGGGACGGGGCGCTCGAGGCGCTGCTGGGCGCCGCGGGCCACGGGGTCTTCTCCTGCCCCGCCCGGGAGGAGAACAGAACGGCATCTCCGCAGAAGCAGATCGTATTTTCGGGGGTGGACAGGCCTCCTACCCTGACGCGTCGATTTAAGGAATTGGCCGTTTTCGGTTCGCGGGAGGGCGTCGCGGCCGTCATTTTTGCGGGTCCAGGTCCGTCGGTTTCGGTCCTGGGCCGTTTTCGCTAAGGGGAGGTTTACTAAAGGGAGGTTTGTCCACCGCCGAAGTCTACCACGGAAGCTCCGAACCAGAATCCAGAAATCGGTGGTTCAGTCTTGAGCGTTGGCTGCGGATGCGGAGTTCATTCTGCACCCAGCCGCGCTTCATGCGGCATCGAGTGTGCTGGCATCCGACGACGCCTCGCTGCCGACAGACGTTGCGGCGCCTCGGCGTCTGAAACAAATGAGTAAACCACGGAAGATCCCAGTTTTCTTTGGACGTGCGTCGGCGAATACTGCCCACTACCGTTCAATAGCGCCAAGCAGCGCCCTGTGGCGCCGAACAGCAATCAAGTAGCGCCCAACAGCGACAAATGGCGCCCACTATAACGCCATGCGATGAGAGGTGCATCATGTCCGCTCCGTGCGCGAGTGGCGGGCTATTGGGCGCCATGGTCGGGGTTGGACAGACCTCCTACCCTGACACGTCGATTGAGGAATTGGCCGTTCTCGGTTTGCGAGAGGGCGTCGCGGCCGTCATTTTTGCGGGTCCGACGGTTTCGGTCCCAGGCCGTTTTCACTAAGGGGAGGTCTACTAAATGGAGGTTTGTCCACCGCCGACATGGGGACGACCACACGCTTCCGTGCGTTGCTTTCCGAGCATGGGCCCGCAGATCCGGGCGCTGCCGTCTTCTTCACACCGCGTGCCCTTCCGCCCAGCTCGGGCCCCGGGAGCAGCCCAGATCGCCTCGCCTCGGACCATGCAGCAGAGAAAGGTGGGGTCCAAGGCTCTCTGGTCGCCTTTTTTGGGTCGGATTGACGTGTTGGAGATGGCACGCGAGCAAACAAGAGCGAACTGTCTTAAACCGATTGTTGTTCCCTACCTAGGCTCTGCCTAGAAGGGTTCTTACTTTATTGCTTAAAGGGCCGGGCAGTGTTCCCCGCCCCGGGCGGTTCCCCCAGGATCCGCCCCGCGGTTCCCCCAGTGACGTTCCCTTAGCTTCGCGTTGCTTATCTCATCTTAGCTTAGCCTAGCTTAGCTTAGCTTAGCTTAGCTTAGCTTAGCTTAGCCTAGCCTAGCTTAGGTTAGCTTAGCTTAGCTCAGCTCAGCTCAGCTTAGCTTAGCGCAGCGCAGCATTAGCATAGCATAGCATAGCATAGCATATCATAGCATATCATAGCATCGCGTAGCATATCATAGCATAGCGCAGCATAGCATAGCGCAGCAAAACATAGCATAGCACAGCAACTCATATTATATCATACCATAGCGCAGCATATCATAGCACAGCATACTATAGCACAGCACAGCATAGCACAGCACATCATACCATATCATAACATATCATAGCATATCATATCATAGCATATCATAGCGCATCATATCATATCATATCATATCATATCATATCATATCATATCATATAATATCATATCATATCATATCATAGCGCAACATAGCAAATCATATCACATCATAGCGCATCATATCATATCATAGCATTTCACAGCATAACATAACATATCATAGCATAGCGCAGTATAGCACGTCATAACATAGCCTAACCTATAATAGCATAGCGCAGCATAACATTGCATATCATATCATAGCGCAGCATAGCATAGCATAGCATAGCATAGCATATCATAGCCTTAGATGTAGATGCAGCTGTAGGTGTAGATGTAGGTGTAAAAGTAGATGTAGATGTGAGTCTCGCTCTTGATGTTGATGTAGATGTAGATGCAGGTGTAGATGTAAATGTAGCTGTCGGTGTAGATGTAGATGTTGCGTTCCTAAATGCTCCAACTCCTAGGTAGGGTCGCACTTGGATAATTGTCGTTGTTGAACTCTCACCACTGAAGACAAAGTGTTGTTGATCCCACCCGCGCGGGTTTCTCGGAGCGGCGCTGGGCCTCTCCTGGCGGCTGCGCCCCGGGCGCCGCCCCGGGCGCCGCCCTGTGCGCGCCCGGGGAGAGGGGGCCCCAGCGCCGGGTCCAGGAGGAATTGAGCCGGGCACGTGCCTTTCCAGGGAGAAAGCAGTCAACAAAATAGTCAGGGGACGATTTTTTTGTTTTGTTTGTTTGTTTTTTTGGTTTGTTGTCTGTTTGTTTGTTTGTTTGCTTGTTTGTTGTTGTGACAGTGTTGGAATCTTTGTTGTTGGTATTTTGTTTTTTCGTCCAAAATTCGACTGTAGGGGGACATGCCCGACGTGAAAGAAAAATCCCTGCGGTCCTCCGAAAGGTCCCTAAGATCCGAAATTGCAACGAACATGCAACATCGCAAACAATAAAAACGCGACCAGAGCCTTGGAGCCCACCTTTCTGCTGCATTGTCCGGGGCCCGGAACTGGGCGGAAACGCGCGGACCTCCGACACTTTTTGCTTGCCCATCGGTCGCTGAAAGTCGGCATCTGTGCGCTCCCGGATTCCCCACCTGCCCTGGGCGCCTTCCTGCCTCGGTCGTCGAGCGCTTTCCCCTTCTCCTCCTCCTGGCAGCGGGCTGGCGGGGATCCGATCGACCGTCGCCGCCTCTCTTTAACGGGCGAAGAACGGTATAAAATAAACTTTTGCGCCGTCGGGGGCGCCTGTCCCTGGGCGGCTGGAAAGTTTATACCCCTACGGTGCCACCGTAAGGGTATAAACTTTCCAGCTGCCCTGGGACAGGCGCCCCCGACAGCGAACAAGTTTATCTTATACCGTTCTTCGCCCGTTAATTTCGGCTCCACGCCTCCGCCCACCTCTGCCGGCCGCTGGGGATATGCAGTCCTTCCTCCTCCCGCCAGCGTGCGCCGCCGGGGCGGGGGCCTACCTGGAGGGGCTGCGCGCGGCGGGCACCGAGGAGCCGGGCTCGAGCGGAACGGTGCCGTGGCGATCTCGTGGGCCGTCCTCGCTCCGAGTCTGCGCCGCAGCAAGGTCTCGGAACGAGCGCAGCACGAGGGAAGGCGAACGCCACGGCAAGGGGAAGCACTGCGTAGCACAGCTGCCCTGGTGCGCTCGTGCTGAAGCGCAGCACGTGCTGTGCTCCGGACGTCTCTCACGCACGTGTTGGCCCACGTTTTGGTGAACGTACCGCGCCAGACCTGCACCCATCAGGAATCGCAAGAACAAACACATCAACGTTCATGTACTCCAGCTTTCGTTCAAGAGAGTCGGATAGTCTGGACTGGACCCTGGGCGTTCTCTTGGAGCTTGTTTCTCCGTAGAGTGTTCGTATGTCTGGACCTGGGCTACGGTTTCAAGAAACGCTTGGCGTGACGCCCATTTTCTTGGGCTGCAAGACGCCACGGGCTGCGTGCGTGCAGTGGAGGCCCGTGCCAAGCAACGCCCTGCTTGCCTCCAGACTCGGCCTTGCCGTGGAGAGCGCGACGCCCCCAGGGCAAGTGCAAACTCCAGCAGGGAAAGTTCATCTTGCCGGGGCCCCGCAGGGTGCCCACGGCAAGTCGCCCAGGGGGTTTCCTTGCTCCGCGCCCCTTGCCGTGGAAAGCGTGACGCCCCCAGGGCGGGAAAGCGCGACGCCCCCAGGGGAGCGCTGGGCCCCCCGCCCCCTGGCAAGGGACGCCCCGGGGTCTCCACGTGGGGTTTCCCCGTGGGAGGCCTCGTGCGGCCTGGCCTGCCGCGGTGCCGCGCCTCGGGGGGCGGCCGCGCCCCCCCCGAGGCCCGAGAGCCCCGCTCCCGAGGAGGCCGCCGCCGCCCAGGCGCACCTGCTCCTGCCGCTGCCGCCGCCCCGGAAGGCCCGGCGCGAGGATCGGCCACACGCCAGGCTTGGCATCGCTCGGACGTGTGCATGTTTCCTTCGACGAGGACCATTGAGGAGCATCGTTGACCATTTGGCGAAAAAGCCACGCACGAAACCGAAAGAAGCACAAGGACTGGACGTCCGAGCGATGGCCAGCAGGGGGGAACCTCGGAGGTGGACAGGCCTCCTACCCTGTCACGTCGACTAGCGACTTGGCCGTTTTCGGTTTGCGGGAGGGCGTCGCGGCCGTCATTTTTGCGGGTCCAGGTCTGTCGGTTTCGGTCCCAGGCCGTTTTCACCAAAGGGAGGTTTACTAAAGTGAGGTTTCTCCACCGCCGAGAACCCTTCGCCGGAGCGACCTTTGGTGCGGGCCCACCAGGGGCCCCCTGATGTCTCGGGGGCGGCAAAGAGGGGGTGATGACTGGGGGGGGTGGATATCACGGCGGGGCCATGGTATTTCCCTAGATCTCATGGCGCCTCTTCTTGCTTCATTGCGTCCCTGGCCCCCCCGCTGGGCCGCGCACATGCCGCCGGTCATGATTTGCACCCGCCCCCTCTTGGACACCCCCCTCTTGGCCGCTCCCGAATTTCATCGGGGCTCAGGAGACGGGGGTCAATGCAAACGGGGGTCAGCCAGGGCGCCGGGTCTTGCAGGATCCTGCACGGCCAGGGTCGCGCTGGCCTGGGTTTGGGTGCAGGATCCAGCAGGATCCTGCAGAGCCCGTGGTGCATTGACCCGGCTTTGGGTGCGGGATCCTGCAGGATCCTGCAAGGCCTAACTGACCCGGCTCTGGATTGATCCGGGTCAGCAGATCCCCGATTGCAGAGGTGGACATCGAAGAACCAACAAAAAACGCAATCATACACTTTTGGCGCTCCGCGCAGATTTCTTGGATCGGCGTCTGGTCCCTCTGGGCGGCGCTTCGGGCGCCGTCCCTGGCGCGCTCCGCGCGCCAGAGAGGGTGGTCCAGCGCAGATCCAAGAAATCCGCGCGGAGCGCCAAAAGGTCTATGCTTTTGGCGTTTTTCCTTCTCTGGAAAAGGTATCCATACTGCTACCCTTCTCCCGTTGGAGGCCCTCGTCTTCACCGCTGGATTCGCCTTGAAATCCTGGTCAGAACGCGCCCCGGGAGAGGTCCGGGGAGTAGCGGTATCGGTACCTGTTGGTTTCCCCATGATTGCCGAGCGCGGTGTGGAAGTAGCGTCCTGCACGGTTGTGGTTCCGGGGCGGGGACTTTTCCATAACCACTGCCTGGGGGATCGATCTTCGCGGACCTCCATAGGCGGTGGATATGGATGTATTCGGGCCCCCGGCGGTCGAAATATATGCACGTCCACCGCCCGCTGGGGTACTAGGCCGCCGGTTCCCAGGCGGTGGATACGGATAAGTCCGCGTCTCGCAGCGATTGGTCCCCCCCGCGGCCCCCGAGAAAGCCGCGCACCAAGGGTCGTTCTTGCCCGGGGCCGCTCCTGCGTGTGGCCAAGAGGAGCGGCTGGTGGTGCTCGCGCTCCGCCGGGAGCCCGTGCCGGGAGAGCAGGCGGAAGCGGCACGGGCACGGCTCGGAGTCCGAGGAGGGAGAGGCATTCCAGATTCCGCAATAAGAGGGGGGTGGTCTGGTTTTTTTGGGGGCTGATTGGAGCTGTCTTTGAGGGTTCCAGGGGGCCTGGGCAAACGGCCGCCCTTTCATGGCTAGTCTGGGGGGGTCTAACATGGCTCGTCTGGGAGGGTTGTGCCCCCCTTCCCTTTGATTGCGTAATCTGGAGTGCCATCACCGCTGCCCTTGCCCCGTTTTCATCTGCTTCGGGCCTCCTGGGAGGCCCTCGTCGCCATCGCCAGATTCGCCTCGAGATTCTGGTCAGAACGCGCTTCAGGAGAGGGCCGGGGAGAAGCGGTAGATGGGCACCTTGCGGTTCCCCCACGGGGGGTGCCGGGCCCGTGCGGAGGACGTCCACAGACCTGCTCGAGTCGTAAAGGATCCGGGCGGGAGGGTTTTGGCCCTTGTCGGTCTCTGGGGGCCCTCGCCGGGCCCCCGTATTGAAAAAGTCATGACGTCGCATGTTTGGGTCTGTGTGCTCAGTCTTCGTCCAGGCTTTTACTCCGTCCGTCTGGGCTTGGCCTCTCCTGACAGGATGCCAAAAGTCCCTGCGGGATGAGTCCGCGCAGAGTGCTCGGCCTCCGTCCGGGCTTCCGCCGTCCGGACGGCGCCCCTTCTTGAGTGACCCAGACCTGCCCGCGTCGTGTAGAAATCGTGGAACCATCGCCAGGCCCTGGGACGGTAACAAGAACGGCCCGGGATGGAACGCCGGCCTCGGGGAGAGGGCAGGACGTCCGGGGACCGCGCATGGGAAAACCGAAGGCGTCGCCTGTCTGGGGAGCTTTCGTCGGAGGAGGGCCGTCCTCCTTGGCCCTCCTGGAGGCTTTCCGCGTCGCCACGACCGGATCCGCTGCCCAAAGCGGGTCAGGGTGGCCTTGCGGAGGGGTCCGGGGACCGACTCTGAGCGGATTTGGGCCAGGCGAGGGCCGCCATCGTTTCATTTTTCTCTTCACCAAGCCATGGGGGTGACTCGTCATCCGCGACGTCAGCAATCGCACACGCGCATGCGAACAGCAAGTCAAGGTGCCTGCACAGGCCTCCAGCCAGCGAGCCCACGAGCTCGCCCAGAATGAAAGACAGCGACGCAAAAGGCCAGGTTGAAAGGATAGCAAGCACAGCTAGTGCCACGAGATCACTACCCAGCTCGAAGATCGCCGAATACTTAAATCGTTGTTCGGCCGGCGAGCCCAGGGGGAAGCGAGGAGGGGCGGGCCTTCTCAGAAGGCTCGGAAGTCCCCTGGCCTTCTGCGAAGTTTCTTGAGCCTTCCCTGGTGACATTGGACACTTCTCTAAGGGCGCGAGGGCTTCTTGAGAAGCCCCGCCGCCTTTTGAGAGAAGGCCTTCTCCTTCTCACTTCCACCCCTCGCTCGCCGCCGAACTGCTTCGTGGCCAGGCCCATCCTGAATCCAGGGGCTGTGTATACGCTCTCCTGGTGTGGCGTATACAGCTCTGCTGGGGTCAGTGTAGGTCTGGCCAGGGAGCAGTGGACGTGTACTGTATAGATTTCGTCGCCCTCGGGAGCGTGGGCGAAGACTCGAGTTCGCTGGAACTCGGGTTTGCCGACGCTTTGTGAGGGGCCCGTCCCGAATCTTGACGGTCCAGGTTTCGTGGGATGTCTGCAGCGGGAGCTCGCGTCGGATCTCAGACTGGGCCTCGCCGTTCTCCTGACGGCCCTTTCAGGCCAAGCCGAGTCCTCCAAACCCGAGTCTTGCGCCTCCCCGAGAGAAGAGAGGCGAGGGGGTCCAGGGCCGGCGCCAGGGAGACGGCCCCGAGGGCCTCCGACAGCTCACGCCCCGACCCCCGCCGCCAGGTTGCTTCCATGACGCGCTCAGCCCTGGAGGCCTGGACCCCTTCCCGGGGGGCCAGCTTCTCCTCCGGCGCCGTCCCCTCCTATGGGCGACGCGAGACAACGGGGTCGCCTGCGCCGACAGTGGCGCGCAAGCGGCCCTCGTAAGCTCGTGCGTGAGCACCCTCGCTGCCAAGGCAGCGTGCCGCGCCGGCGGCCCGCGTAAGCCTCTGCGAAAGGTCGCTACGTCATCTCGCGTCAGACCTGTTCTTGGTCGTCGCTCGTATGGTCCCGGGCCGCGGTGAGGGCCCCAGAGGCCGAGGGCGGCCGACAGCTCGAGTGGGGGATGGACTGCAGAATTGATCCACCGCATAAGTAATGTGCTCAGCGAATCCATGCATCACATGTAACATTTTCGTATGCACCTACGAAGGTTGATTCATTTGTTTCGCGAGCTCGGCGAGCATTTGCAGTCTTGGGGCGATATCTCTTCTGCAGCCGATCGGCCCCCCACTCGAACAGCGCTCCGCCACGACTTTTTCCCACGGCCCGAGGGGTCGGGACGCCCGTGCCGCCCGCTCTGGTCTCCCGCCCCTCGGCGCGGGTGTCGCCTCCTCCTCCTCCTCCTCCTCCTCCTCCTCCACCTCCGCCTCCTCCTCCTCCGCCTCCTCCTCCTCCTCCTCCCTCCTCCTCCTCCTCCTCCGCCTCCTCCTCCTCCTCCGCCTTCTCCTCCTCCACCTCCGCCTCCTCCTCCTCCTCCACCTCCGCCTCCTCCTCCTCCACCTCCGCCTGCTCCTCCTCCTCCTCCTCCTCCTCCGCCTCCGCCTCCTGCTTCTCTTCCTTTTCCTTCGAGGGCCCCGCGTGGCTGCTCTGGCGGCGGGCGGGGGCCGGGCTGCTGGCGGGGCAGTGGGAGTTCCCCTGCGCCCTTGTGGCGCAGCACCTGGGCGCGCCACCCGAGGATCGGGCTCCGGGCGCGAGGGGGGGGGGGGTACAGAGCTCCTTTCGGCTCCTCCTCTTCCTCCTCCTCCTCCCCCCTCCTCCTCTTCCTCCTCCCCTCCTCCTCCTCTTCCTCCTCCTCCTCCTCCTCCCTTGCCTCCCCCTCCCTCCTCCTCCTCCTCCCTCCCTCCTCCTCCTCATCCTCCCCTCTTGCCTCCCCCTCGTCGTCCTGCTCCTTCTTCTCCTCCTCCTCCTCCTCCTCCTCCTCCTCCTCCTCATCCTCCGCCTCCTCCTCCTCTTCCCCCCACAATTACACAATCTGCATACTACCCTCATCTCTCCCCTGGTGGCGTCTGGGACATGTCCGACCCCCTCCGCGTACTAGTTTTTTACATAGAGGATTCCCAGGAGTTGGGTTTTCGCTTGTTTTTTTCAAACTGTTGCTCTCGCTGAAGCGCTGACTTCAGTTTTGGGCTACCGCTCATTCCGAATCGTGCTCCCGCTGCAGCGCTGGCCTTATTTCCGCGCTTCGCTCGTTCCGAATCGTGCTCCCGCTGCAGCGCTGGCGTCATTATTTCCAGCGCCATGCCACGGCATGGCTTTCAGTCCTTCCAAATCGGCCCCAAAATCTAGAGAATGCCCTTACGAAAAAACCGCCGGAAGTGATTCCACTTTCCGTGCCGATTCGTTGATTTTTGGGGCCGCAGAAGCCACCCCCCACTTTGGCCCCCCACTTTGGGATGTCGCCACGCCATGCTATGTCAGGCTACGCGTCTTCATTTCCGCGTTTCCATTTTTTGTGTTTGTTTTTCTATCAAAATGCTGCTCTCGCTGAAGCGCTGGCCTCATTTTCGGGCTACTGCTCGTTCCGACTCGTACTCCCGCTGCAGCGCTGGTCTCATTTCCGCGCTTCCGCTCGTCCCGAATCGTGCTCCCGCTGCAGCGCTGGCGTCATTACTTCCAGTGCCATGCCACGGCATGGATTTCGGTCCTTCCAAATGGGCCCCAACGTTAGACCATGGCAGAGAAAACCATCTGAAGTGATTCCATATTCGGTGCCGATTCGTTGTTTTTTTGGGCCGCAGAAGGCCCCCCCCTTCCACTTTGGGACGTCGCCACGTCATGCTATGTCATGCTACGCGTTGATATTCAACACCATGCTATGCCATGTAATGGTATGCCATGTTGCGACATCCGATTGTGCGAATCGAGAGGAGATCTATGCCATGGTAAGGGATGGGAGGGAGGGGTATGACGTCAGATATGACGCGAGCGTACCTAGCTTGTCGTCCTCCCACTGCCTCCCCCTCCCCCTCCCCCTCTTCCTCCTCCGCCTCCTTCTTCTCCTCCTCCCTGTCGCACCCCGAGGCCAGTCGGAAGGGTGGGCTGGGCGTTTCGCCTGAGACGTCTTTGCAATTTGTGAGCCTCACGCTGAAGAGCTGGCGACAGTTTCACTGGTGGAGGGCCGGCCGCTTCCCAAATGTAGCTCTCGCCTTAGCGCCGCGCACATTCGTTCAAACAAATAGCAAAAGTTTCGCATATCGAGGGAGGTTCGTTACAAAATGCGGCTCACGCCTTCGCGCCGCGCGCATGCGTTTCAAACATTTGCAAGAGTTTCATGGATTGAGGGCGATTCCTTTTCAAACTGTGGCTCTCGTTAGCGCCGAGCACATTCTTTTTGAACATTTGCAAGAGTTTCATTGGTTCTCATGATTAACGTACCGGAAATGGTGTTTTGGAGCGATACAGGGTTGTCAGGGCGCAACAGTTACGTTTATTCGCGGTGTTGAAGTCCCAGGAAATGAGCTCTGTTTGGCGCGATCAGGATTGTCAAGACGTAACAGTCAGGTTGACTCGTGGCGTAGAAGTCATTGGAATGGTGGTTTGGCACGCTTTCAGGATCTTCAAGCGGTTGTCTCCCAACGGGGCAGTTCCCCTAGTGGAAATGAATCCTTGTAAGGGGCGTGTGTAGAGGGAGCTTGGAGAGAGGGTATATTCCAACGTCGTTGATGAGTTTTGGGCTTGCGCTGGTCCTCCTCCTCCTCCTCCTCCTTCTCCTCCTCCGCCTCCTCCTCCCTCATCCCTCCTCCTCCTCCTCCTCCTCTTCCTTCTCCTCCTCCTCCTCCTCCCCCTCCTCCTCCTCCTCCTCCTCCTCCTCCTCCTCCTCCTCCTCGTCCTCCACCTCGGGGGGGGGAGCGGCAGGGACCCCTTCCTGAGATCCCGGCGTCGCAGTTTTGGAATGGCGCAGGAAGCTGCTGGTCTGCCAGCACGGGGGGGGGGGCAGGGAAGGGGCGGGGAGGGGTAGTCCAGGCCTCCTAGATGGGGTCGGAGTAGATGGGGTCGGAGGATCGCCCCGCATCGCCGATGCATCGGCGATACATCGGCGATGCGTCTCGATGCGGAGCCCGACTTTCTCCACGTCGGCGTCGCCGATACACCGCCGACGTCGGCGATGCATTTGCGATACATCGCCGATGCATCGCCGATGCATTTGCGATGCGGCGCGATCCTCCGATCCCATCTACTCCGACCCCCATCTAGGAGGCCTCTAGGTAGGGAGCCCAGAAGGCGGTTTCTTCTCTCGACTCTGGCAAGTTTCCTTTCACGGAGCGGCGGGGGGGAGGGGGGGGGAGTGGCGAGGCCCGACGGGAAATCTGGGCTTCGCGCAAGTCGGGACATACGTGCACGCCTTTTCGGCCCTGCGATGATGGAAAAGGCTGCGGAGGGTGGGGGGAAACTGCCATGCAAGTAAATTTGCCTAAATTGCCTAACTCTAATGGAAACAACCAGGGGGGGTAGGGAAGGCGGGGGCGGTAACAGTCTCGTTTCGATTCCTCCGGCTCGATTCGCTTCGACTTGGATCGATTGCGATTCCGATTCGGTTCGACTTCGGACTCCGATTTGGATTTCGTCTTCTCAATGGAGGCCTTGCTAGCCTTCCGATTCCCGCCGATTCGATTTCTCCCGACTTGGCTGCCGATTTCCGCTGAACCGACTCATCTGGATCGCCGATGGGAACAATCGATCTGATTCTGAGGGCTTTCTGGGGGGTTTGTAAGGGGGGGGGAGGGGGTGGTAGGGAATCCAGACTTGCTCGCCAGGCCGTCGGGACAGAAGTCACGAGTGCCCGGCGAGCAAGTCTGGACTGGCGAACGCCTCCCGTCGCGACAAAAGTCACGACTACTTTTGGCCGTTTCCGGCCTCCCTGGGGGCCCTCGCAGGCCCCGGGACCGTCCGACAAAAGAGCCAAGAATGAGAAACCGGCCCCGGGGAAGAGATCGGGACTTCCAGGGGCCGCGTGCTGAACACATCAGGGCATCGTCGGACGGGGCTCGGACGAGGATCAGTCCGCTCCAGAAGGCCGCGGCGCCCGATACATCCTCCAGAGCCAGCGGATCTCAGAGATTCTCGACGTATCCTCGCCCGATGCTGCCCTCGTCGTGGCTGCGTCTTGGCCACCGCACGGTCTGGGAGAGACGGGGCCGCCACTGGGCGCACCGCCCGCTGCATGCCCGAGCCCGCTCCTCCTCCTCCTCCTCCTCCTCGCGCCTCCTCCTCCTCCTCCCCCTCGCCCCTCCTCCTCCTCCTCCTCCTCCTCCTCCTCCTCCTCCTCCTCCTCGCGCCTCCTCCTCCTCCTCCTCCTCCTCCTCCTCCTCCTCCTCCTCCTCCTCCTCCTCCTCCTCGTCGCGCCCCCCACAGCCCGAGGTGCTGTTTTGACGCTCGGAGGGCACTGCAGCCGCTCCCTGCCCTCTCGCCGCTCCCGCCGCCCCTCTGCCCAGAGGGGGAACAAAAGGTACCCGTACCTCTACCCTTCGCCGCTCGCCCTTCGCCGCCCCTCCGCTCAGAGGAGGAAAAGGTACCCATACCTCCGCCCCCTCCTCCTCCTCCTCCTCCTCCTCCTCCTCCTCCTCCTCCTCCTCCTCCTCCTCCTCCTCCTGCTCTCCCCAGATTTCCCACCAGATCTTCTTCCAGATCTTCCCCCGTTTCCCCCTTTTTGGGCCTCCTGGGGGGACCTCGTCGCCACTGCCGGATTCGCCTCGAAGTCCTGGTCAGAACGCGCCCCGGGAGAGGTCCGGGGGGCAGCGGTGTCGGTACCTTTTGGTCTCCCTGCCTCTGTCCTGTGTCTCACCAGTGCAGCAGTGCGGTCGGGCCGAGGTACGAGATCGAGGTCGGTTTGGGGAGGGTGCCCTGATGTTCTTCGTGCTTGTTGGGTGTTCTTTGTGCATTTTGGGGGGAGGGTCGGTGCCCTTGGACGTTCTGTGTGCTTGGGCCAGCGGAGGATCTCTCATGTTCTTGAGGAAGGCTCTTCTGTTTTTGGATCGGCTGTACGCGCCGGTCGTTGGAAGCAGGTATCTTGGGGTCCCCAGATCCCAATGTATCTCAAGCGCCTTCCTACTTTAATGATCGATATGTGCATGCTGTTTTTTGTTATTCTGCGGGCGGGCCCGAACCCAATCTACTCTACCCGCCTTCCTACAGTATATGTCTATGCATGTCTGCATGTCTGTCTGTCTGTCTGTATGTATGCATGTGTATGCATGTATGTATTTATGCATGTATATATGCGTGCATGCATGCATGTTTGTATGTTTGTATGTTCACATGTTTGTATGTTTGTATGCTTGTATGTAGTTATGCATGTATGTATGCATGCATACATGTATGCATTTATGTATGTATGTACGTACGTACGTACGTATGTATGAATGTATGTATGTATGTATGTATGTATGTATGCATGTATATATATATATACGTAGGTATGCATGCATGCATGCATGCATGCATGCATGCATGCATGTATGTATGTGTGTATGTATGTATGTAAGTGTGCATGCTTGTATGTATGTATGCATGCATGCATGCACACATGCGTGCTTGTATGCAGGTGTGCATGCGTGCATGCATGCACTTATGTATGCATGCATGTATGACTGCATGTATGTATGTATGTATGTATGTATGTATGTATGTATGTATGTATGTATGTATGTATGTATGTGTGTATGCATGTATGTGTATACATATATGAATGTATGTATGTATGTATGCATGTATGTATGTATGCATGTATGTCAGTACTTATGTGTGTATGCATGTATGCATGCATGCATGCCTGCATGTGCGCATGCATGTATGCATGTATGCATGCATGCATGCATGCATGGATGTATTGATTTATGTATGTATGCATGTATGTATGCATGCATGCATGCATGTATGCATGCATGTATGTATGAACGCATGCATGGATGTATGTAGGTATATATGTATGCATGTATGCACACACACATATATACATATATATATATATGTATGCACGCATTCATGCATGCATGCATATATGTATGTGTATATCTATACATGTATATATATATACAGACACGTGTATATTTATATAGGTATGTATGCATGTATGTATGCATGCATGCCTGTCCTGTTAGTCCTGGTCGCAACTTGGGCCCGAGGCGCCGCCGATACAAATGGGGGGGGGCGGAATCTGCTCCCGCAGCTAGTCTCGGCCCCGCCGCTCGGCCCTCGGCTCCACTCGCTGGCGATCCCGGGCGCCGGGAAGATCATCCGGGCGACATCCGCTGACATCGACGGCGCAGTGCAGTCGTGGCATGGTGCCGGCGGTGTCCCGTATCGGACTGGGTGGTTCAGCACGTGTGCCGAAGTCGACGCTCGGGTGCTCCCGTCGCAGAGGTCCCGACCCCTTTCCTGGGGCCAGCTTCTCGTCCCACGGATCCATTTGTTGCAGTGGCCCCCGTGGGCCTGACAGCGGCCCCTGAGGTCGAAATGGAAGAACAAGCGCCCGGATTGAGCGAAGCATGTCGTCGGCGATCTAGGTGGCTACCTCGTCCTCCTCCTCCTCCTCTTCCCCTCCTCCCCCTCCTCCTCCTCCTCCTCCTCCTCCTCCTCCTCCTCCTCCTCCTCCTCCTCCTCCTCCTCCTCCTCCTCCTCCTCCTCCTCCTCCCTCCTCTCCTCCTCCTCCTCCCCCCTGTTCTTTCTCCTCCTCCCCCTTCCCCTCCTCCACCTCCTCCTCCTCCTCCTCCTCCTCCTCTCCTCCTCCTCCTCCTCCTCCTCCCCCTGTTCTTCCTCCTCCTCCCCCCTCCCCCCTCTTCTCCTCCTCCTCCCCTCCTCCTCCTCCTCCTCCTCCTCCTCCTCCTCCTCCTCCTCCTCCTCCTCCTCCTCCTCCTCCCCCCACGTTTTGCTATTGTCGCAGGCCTCCCAGGTCGGAGTAGATGGGGTCGGAGAGGATCGCGCCGCATCGCCAGTGCATCGGCGATGCGGCTCGATGTGGAGCCAGATTTTTTCCACGCCGACGTCGCCACTGCAGCGCCGACGTCGCCGATGCATCGCCGATGCATGGCCTCCAACCCAGACCCCCGACGTGTTGATTTTTTCACAACGTCGACCCCCAGAGTTCTCGACCCCTTCCACGAGACCGGTTTTTCATCCTCAGTCGTTTTTTGACGGCCCCGGGGCCAGGTCAGGGCCCCCCCCGGAGGCCGAGTTAGTAGCGAAACCCTCCTCACGTCGTGTTTTTTTCCCAGCGCGAGGGGCCCTGGGACCCCCATCCACGCTGGCCCCTGTGCGGCTTCCGCTCTCCCCCTCCTCTCGTGCGACCCCCCCCGCGAGGACCCGGGCCCCGAGGCCCGGGGCGCCGCGGCGAGTGCGCTGCTGCGCGAGCTGGGCGCGGAGGAGGGCCTCTCCGGCCGGGAGTCGCTGCCAGGTGCGGGCAGGAGTCGTTTCCATATGCGTTGCGTCTTGGAGTTCCAGGCTCTCCTTCTCCAGGAGCCAGAGGCGCAGTGGGTATGGATAAAAACGTCGGGCCCATAGAGGCTAGATTTTCATGCATATTTATATCCACTGCGCCTCGGCCTTTTGGCACCCCTTCCCAGAAGCTCCAAGACGCAGCGGATATGGATATAAATCTTGCCCGCACCAGGGCCCCTGGAGCACGTCTTCTCGCACGTGCGGCGCTCGGAGGAGGAAAAGGTACCCATACCGCTACCCATGGCCCCGTTTTCGCCTCCTCGGGCGCCCTCGTCGCCTCTGCCGGATTTTTGCCTCGAGATCCTGGCCCGAGCGCAGCCCGGGAGAGGTCCAGGGAGTGGCGGTATCGGTACCTTCCTGCGGGCCTACAGGCACATCATCCCCCGGAGGTTCCCAGGGGGGTCCTCTTGCCGAAGAAGAACACGCGGCCTGAGCATAAACTTTAAGAGGTTCCCAGGGGGGGTCCTCTTGCGGAAGAAGACCACGCGGCCTAAGCATCAATTTTACGAGGGCCGCGCGGTTTTCTTTGATCTGCGCCGGGCCCCCTCTGGCGGCGCCTCCGGCGCCGCCCCTCGGCGCCCAGCGCCGATCCAGGACATCCGCGCGGACCTAAGTTTGTGTATTTTTTTGTTTGATTGGTGTATATATATATATATATGGTGTGTATATATATTTATATATATATGGTATACATATATATATATGTTTTTTTTTTTTTTTTTTTTTTTTTTTTTTTTTTTTTTTTTTTTTTTCTCTCTCTCTCTCTCTCTATATATATATATATGTTGTCCTGAGGTGCTCCCCCCAGTTTGTCGCGCCCCAGTTTTTGGGGCCTCTCGGGCCCTCCAGGGCCTCGTGCGGAGCGCTCCGCGAGGCCAGCCGGGTGCAGAGACCGCAGGAAGCGGCTCGGGGGCTTCTCTCGGAGTCCTCACCCCAGAGAGCCTGAGGCCCGACGGCGCGGCGTGCGTGGCCGCCTCAAGATCAGAGGTGACTCGGCGAGCTTCGTTGCCCAGCGGAGCGACGGACGGGAACGGGGCGAGACCGGGGCCGCCTTCGCCGACACTGGCGCGCAAGCTGCCCGCGCAGGGACGCGCGCAGGCGCCTTCGCTTTCCGCACGAGGCGTGCCACGGCGGCGGCCCGCATGAGTTGACGCGTCAGGTCGCTATGCTGAAGTCGGGCATGCCCCTCTACAGGGGGAATCTTCAAAAATGATAAAAAAAATTATCCCAGTGCGACCCTACCTAGGAGTTGGAGCCCCTAGGAAAGCAGCATTAGTAGTAACAGTAAAGCTAAGCTACAGCTAAGCTAAAGCTAAGCTAAAGCTGAGCTAAAGCCAAGCTAAATATAAACTAAAGCTAAGCTGAAGCTAAGCTGAAGCTAAGCTAAAACCAAGTCTTAGCAAACGCTAAGCTAAAGCTAAGGCAAAGCCAAGGTAAAGCTAAGCTAAAGCTAAGCTAAAGCTAAGCTAAAGCTAAGCTAAAGCTAAGCTAAAGCTAAGCTAAAGCTAAGACACATCTAAGCTAAATATAAGCTAAAGCTAAGCTGAAGCTAAGCTGAAGCTAAGCTACAGCTAAGCGAAAACTAACCTAACGCTAAACTAAAGCTAAGCTAAAACTAAGCTAAAGCTAAGCTAAAGCTAAGCTGAAGCTAAGCTGAAGCTAAGCTAAAGCTGAGCTAAAGTTCAGCTAAAGCTAAGCTAAAACTAAGCTGAAGCTAAACTAAAGCTGAGCTAAAGTTCAGCTAAAACTAAGCTAACACTAATGTACAGCTAAGGTAAAGCAAAGCTGAAGCTAAGCTAAAGCTAAGCTAAATCTAAGGTAAAGTTAAGCTACAGCTAAACCAAAGCTAAGCTAAAGCTAAGCTAGAACTAAATTAAAGCTAAGCTGAATTTAAGCTGAAGCTAAAGCGAAGCTAAAGCTAAGCTGAAGCTAAGCTAAAGCTAAGCTAAAGCTAAGCTAAAGCTAAGCTAAAGCTAAGCTAAAGCTAAGCTAAAACTAAAGCTACAGCTTGAACGCCCAGGGGACTGGGGGAACCGCGGGGCGAGGACTGGGGGAACCGCCGGGGCGGTGTGCACTGCCCGGCCCTTTAAGCTAAGAGAGTAAGAACCCTTCTAGGCAGAGCCTAGGTAGGGAATAACCAGGGGACGATTTTTTGATTGTCCATTTAAAGGTGTGGGCATTTTTCCCGGAAGGGGCTTAAGCCCAGGGTTCTCTTTTAGCCGTTTACCCCCGGAATCGACGGGAAGAGGGCCGGCGGCATTATTCTGCGATAAATTACGTGCGGGAAGAGGGCCGGCGGAATTATTTTTGAGGATGTCTCGAGCGAAACGCTTGTTTTTCAGAAATTGTTGAGGATGTCTCGAGCGAAACGCTGGTTTTGCAGAGTTGGGGATGTCTCGAGCGAAACGTTGTTTTCAGAATTTGTTGAGGATGTCTCGAGCGAAAACGCTGGTTTTGCAGAGTCGACCGCGACACGGAAAAGCGCCCCGCGTAGGAATTCCGAGGATGTCTCGCGCGTGCCGCGTCCCGCGCGCAGGAATTTCGAGGATGTCTCGACTAATTCGTTTGTTTTTCGATGATTTCCTTGGCCAGACAGGTGGGTATCTAACATGTTCTGCCCGAGCTGTCACCACGTCGCTTCACGTGTCCAGGGCACCCAGGTGGGTATCTAATATGATGGTCCCGAGCTGGAGCCACGTGTTTTCACGTGTACAGGCCACCCAGGTGGGTATCTAACATGTTGGTCCCGAGCTGCAACCACGTGCTTCACCTGTCGAGGCCACCCAGGGGGTGTCTAAGATGGTGGTCCCGAGCTGGAACCACGCGTTTTCACGTGCCCAGGTCGCCCAGAGGGTGTATCTAACATGGTGGCCCCGCGCTGAAACCGCGTGTTTTCATGTGTCCACGCCACCCAGGGGGGTATCTAACATGGTGGTCCTGAGCTGGAACCACGTGCCCAAGCTACCCATGAGGTATCTAACATGGCGGTCCCGAGCTGGAACCACGTGTTTTCACGTGTCCAGGCCACCCAGGGGGTATCTAACATGGTGGTCCCGCGCTGGAACCACGTGTTTTCACGTGTGCAGGCCACCCAGGTGAGTATCTACATGGTGGTCCCGAGCTGGAACCGCGTGTTTTCACGTGTCCACACCACCCAGGGGGTATTTAACATGGTGGTCCCGAGCTGGAGCCACGTGTTTTCACCTGTCCAGGCCACCCAGGGGGTATCTAACATGGGCCCCCTGGATCCTTCCTGGGACTCGGAAGGGAACGTCGAGAGTTTATTTGTATTTGGTATCGATTCGTTTACTTTTTGGCCTCCGGGCGCCTCTGGGCGTTCCTGGGCCCTCCTGTGCTCCAGACGACCGCATCTTAGATATCCCCCCTGGGTGGGCTGGATCACGTGTTTTTACGTGTGCAGGCCACCCAGGGGGGTATCTAACATGGTGGTCCCGAGCTGGAACCATATGTTTTTACGTGTCCAGGCCACCCAGGGGGATATCTAACATGGTTGTCCCGAGCTTGAATCACGTGTTTTTGCGTATCCAGGCCACCCAGAGGGGGTATCTAACATGATTGTTCTGAGCAATGGCCATGTGTTGTAACGAGTCCAGGCTATTCAGGGGTGTATATAGCATGGTTTCCCGAGCTGGCACCATGTGTTTTTATGTGTCTAGGCCATCCAGGGGATATCTAACATGGTTGCTCCGAGCAAGGACCATGCATTTTAAGGTTCCGTAGCGCGTCCCCTCGGCACGTTCCGCGGTGCGTCCCCGTGGCACGTCCCCTGGCACGTCGCCTGGCGCGTCCCTTAGGACGTTCCGCGGCGCGTCCTCCTGGCATGCTCCCCTGTCAATTAGCTTTGGGGCAGCTACTATGTGCTCAGGCAGCTCGAGCTTAAGATCCAGATCAGTTCGGTCAGGACTCGGATGCAAAGGAGGACTCGATCCACAACACTATAGAGCACAATCAGGGCATGGCACATGGCAGTTTAGCACAGCGCAGCACAGCACAGCCCTCGGCCCGGTACATCAAGATCGATACACTCAGCATTGCAACCGTGCACGTTCCGTGGCGCGTCCCGTGGCGAGTCCCCCTGGCACGTCGCGCGGCGCGTCCCCTGGCACGTCCCGTGGCACGTCCATTGGCACGTTCCGTAGAGCGTCCCCTTGGCACGTCCCGCGATGCGTCCCCGTGGTACGTCCCCTGGCACGTCGCCTGGCGCGTCCCTTAGGACGTTCTGCGGCGCGTCCTCCTGGCATGTTCCCCTGTCAGTTAGCTTTAGTGCAGCTACTATGTGCTCAGGCAGCTCGAGCTTAAGATCCAGATCAGTTCGGTCAGGACTCGGATGCAAAGGAGGACTCGATCCACAACGCTATAGAGCACAATCGTGGCATGGCACATCGCAATTCAGCACAGCGCTGCACAGCACAGCCCTCTGCACGGTACATCAAGATCGATATACTAAGCATTGCATTTGCCCGTCGCCCAGTCAGGTGTCTTTGAAACGTTGCCATGTCTTACATTTCTATACTCCTTTCCGGGTTCGTGGGTTGATCATGTTGCGTGACCCACGACCCCCCCGGAATTCAGACAACACGATTCGGGGACGCTAACCAGGACGCTTTTCGGCTCCCCCCCTCGCGTGTTCAGCAACAATTTAAGTAAGGAAGGAGAAAGCAGGATTGTAACGGTGGAAATTGGAAACTGCAACTGGTACAGGGAGCTGCAAGCTTAATCTTCGCAGCCTGATGACCCCGCAAGGGGGCTGGCGGATCTCATTGCTTGTGTTCCCCTGTATATGATGCGCGTGGAGGGCAACGCCCCCCATTGGAGCCCCTGCGGGGGTGGCCAGGGCCGCCCCCAGTGTGTGCCCTCGATGTGGTCGTGGTCGCCTGCTGTCCCCCGCACGTCTGGGGGTCGCCCCCAGGCCAGGGCCGCCCCCTCTGGGCACACCTCCGGACCCCGGGGCGCATCCCGAGGGCGGCACTGCTTAGCAACGACGAAGCTCGAACCTCGAAGTTCGAACCTCGAGTGGAGGGGAACGCTCCCCGTTGGGAGCCCTTCGGGCGTGGGACGGCCGGGGCCGTCCCCCCCCCCCCCCCCCCGGGCACACCTCCGGGCCCCCGTGCACGTGGAGCGGGCGCTGGTCCCCGAGGGCGCGGCCCTGGCGGCGAGCGGCGCGGGGGCGGAGTTCCGCCGCGGGGAGCGGCGGCTCTGCTGGATGTCAGGGCATCGTTGTAGACGACCCCTATCAGCCCGGGACCCCCTCGCGATGCGGAAAGATCGCGACGGGAGGTTTTTCACTACTTTCGGCTTCCGGGGGGCCCTTGCCGGGCCCTGGGACCGCCAAAAAACGACTCAGGATGAAAAAGCGGTCCCGTGGAAGGGGTCGAGGCCTTTGGGGGTCACTATCGTTTCGCCGACCCCTACAGTCGAAACGGTACCCAGCGATCCGACGCTCCAAAAAAAATTGGAGCGGGCGGTTCTTGGCCGTTTTCGGCCTCTGGGGGCCCTCGCCGGGCCTCGGGAGCGTCAAAGAATTATTCAGGACGAAAAGCCAGCCTTGGGAAGATGTCCGGACCTCTGGGGCCTACGCATCGAAAAATCGGAGCAGCCGGATGTCTGGGTTGTCAGGGTGGGCAATTTTCCCAAGGGTACCCTTGCATCCTTGCCTCCTCGGTCCATCTTTGACCACTTTCGATGGCGCTTCAACACGGGCGTTCAAGGGACTTGCATGCTTATCGCGCATCCTTACTATAAGTATTGACTGCGTCCCTATCCCGTTCCCATCCAGACCTCCACCATCTCATCCCCCCAGTTGCGGATATGCCCCTCGAAGCCCGAAGGAACGGACAACATCCCCATCCAGGGGGGTACATCGGCCAGTGGGGCCCAGGCCGTGCCGTCAGGGGTAGGGGTCGGATAAGCGATGCTCAGGATGGGCGTGGGCCACATGGCCGACGTGGGCGTGACTGCCGCCGTCAGGAATCGAAGGGGAAAAGTCTGAATAAGAACATGTCGCCGCGCCGTTTCTCCCGACGCGCGGCCTTGCGCCTCGGGGAACACCTCGGGCACCACAGACGCAGAGTCTGCCGCGGATTTGCCGCGGTGTCGGCTTCGTCTGCTTGGGCGCGCTCAGAACACATGGCGCAGCGACACATACTTACAGTCAAGACGCCGAGATAAGAAACCGCTTCAGGTTCGGAAGGGGCCCGCTGTTCCCTGGGCCACTCCGTGGCTGTTCCTCCTGCCCTTTCCTCGTGCACCCAGGCCTTGGTGGTGCCCCACATGGGCCCCGCTCCTTACCTAGCGTTCCTGATTGCAGCAGCTGGCTGTGCTCCTCTCGGAGGTGCCCGCAGATCTCCCCGCATCGGCGCGGGAGCCCCCCCCCTCGGCGCGTGGGCGGCGCCGGAGGCGCCGCCCGGGGGGGTCCAGCGCCGCTGCGAGGCGTGCGCGCGGACCTGCGAGGGCGTGTGGTTGTGCAGGCGCTGGTTCTCCCGAGGGCTATGATATCTATACGTGTATGTATATTCAATCAACCAATCAATCAATCAATCTATCTATCTATCTATCTATCTATATCTATCTATCTATCTATCTATCTATCTATCTATCTATCTATCTATCTATCTATCTATCTATCTATCTATGTATAAGTAAATGCGTATGCATGTATACATAAACACATATTTACATACGCACATCTATATACACATCTGTACATCTACATCTATCTATATTTCTACATGCATGTATATACACCTATGACATCAATACACACACGCGTAGATACTACACGCAGATTCGCTGGCCCAGGCCTGTCCGCTCCTGGGCCCAGGAGCGGTGGCTCTGTCACCCCGGCCACCTCAGGAGGGCGTCGTACCCCGCCGCGGGGCCCAGGAGGGGCCGCGCCTGCGTGGGGCACCGGGTACGCGTGCCGTGAACCCGCATAGGAGGGATGAGCGCCTTTCCAAGGGTTACCGTTAAGTCGGGCCTGTCCCCCTACAGGGGGACTTTCGACGGCAAATATAAGAATACCCCAGAAATAAGCAAAACATAGTCCAAAAATAGTCTGGGGACTATCTTTTTAGTATTTTCTGACCTTTTTGGAGTACTTGTGGGGTATTTTTCATTTCTCGTCGAAAATCCCCCCGTAGGGGGACAGGCCCGACTTAAGGTTACCCTTGCGTCCTTCCCCTTCGGCCCCTCGCTTGGCCGCTTTCGCCGGCCGCGCCCCGCCAGCAGAGCGTCGACGTGGCCTTCCGAGGCCCCTGCATCCTCGTCGTGCGTCCTTCTCATGCAGGTTGGCTCTGCCCCCCCCCCCCCCTGGGCCTGGGGGGACGGGTCGCCACGAGTTGGAGCGTCCAAGATGGCCTCATCGAGAGAGAGCAGAGCTCACGGCTTGTCCACGAGTTCTTGCGCGAAGCTCTGCCTGCAGACCCCGCCGCCCCGCCTCCGAGGAAGGTGCTGGGCGAGGTGGCCTCGCGCCTCGGGCCCGAGGCCGCCTCCGCCGAGACCCCGCCGGGCAGGAAGCGGCGGCGAGCGGCCGTCGCAGGCGGCGCCAGGCCCAAGCGCTCCGCGCCGGGGGGGGTGCGGGGCGCGGGCGAGGGCAAGGGCGAGAGGCAGCAGCAGCTCAGCTTCACCAAGCCCCTCCGGGCGTGCGCGGATGCTGGTGGGTGCATCGACGTGGACTCGGGGGACGCGGCCGAATGAGAAACAAGCGTCGAGGGCTCCGCCTGCCTCCTTTCCATCTCTCATCTTCCTCTCCTTCTCCTCCAGGGGATTTTGCAGACGCGCGCAAGGCACCAGTCTAGGTGTGTTGACGTTGACCCCCTTATGCGGATGTCCTGTCCTGTCCTGTCCTCCTCGTCCTTTGCGCGACCCCAGTCGCCGCGGGAAGTGTCGTCGGAAGTGTCTCCTCCTCGTCCTCTTCAGGTGACGTTTACTCGGCCTTGATGGATAGTTGCCCTGAAGAGCAGCAGGTTTCCCTTGCCCCTGGACGGGCTTTCTTTCGTCCCTGGTCTTGGCCGCCTGCGTCTCCTTCTTTTTGGGCCCAGCGTGCTCCTCCTCCTCCTCCTCCTTCTCCTCCTCCTCCTCCTCCTCCTCCATCTCCTCCTCTTCTTCCTCCTTCTCCTCCTCTTCCCTTTTCTCCTCGTCAGCCGCCTCCAGCGTGGGCTCTTCAGCGCATCTCGGAGGTTCATCGTGCCAGACGTCAGCAGTGCGACCGACATGACTGGCCTGGCCTGCTCGTGCGCACCGCTTGGCACAATTGCACGAGGTGCTGGCGCCCGCATTTTGCCCCCACACTGGCAGGCTTCCATGGTTGCTCCTGGCATCGCTCGGACGTGTGCATTTTTTCTCGGCGAGGACCATCGAGGAGCATCCTTGATTATTTCGCGAAAAAGCCACGCACTAAACCGAAAAAACACAGGGAATGGACGTCCGAGCGATGGCCAGTGCTTCGCATTGTAATGCTTGTCTTTTTCGCCCTTGCACTTTGTGCTCCTCGTCGTCTCCTAGCCAGCTGCCCTCGGCAAGTCCCGCCACCGTGCCAGCCCAGCACCGGAAGGCGACTGTTCGAGGAGCGCACAGGGAAGCGTCACGTGTGACACCTCGTTGGACGAGGCCTGGGAGAGCCTAAACATGTGACATGCTCTTCCACTTCGTGTCGGGTGTCTCCCATCGTGTTCGTCGTCGTCGTCGTCGTCGTCGTCGTCGTCGTCGTCGTCGTCGTCGTCGTCGTCGCAGCCGCCGTCGTCTCCTTGAGGCCTCTTGAGGGGGGCTCTTGGAGGTTTCTTGGGGGCGTCGTGGGGGCCTCTTGGTGCCTCTTGAGAGCTTTCGGGCCGTCTCAGGGCGCTCTTGGGCCGTCTTAGGGTGCTCTTGGGCAGTCTGGCGCCTTCGGGGTCCGTCTTGGGGGCCTCTTTTGGCTGTCTTCGGGACCTTTTGGGGCCCTTAGCGGTCGTCTTGGGGGTCTCTTCGGCCGTCCTGGGGTCTTCTTGGGCCGTCCTGGAGGCCTCTTGGGCCATCTTGAGGGCCTCTTGGGCCATCCTGAGGCCGTCTTGGGCCGTCTTGGGGCAATACGGTAGGCCTCTTGGGTTGTCTTTGGCTAATAGAAGCCCGAGACGGTGAGAAGGCACGAATCATGTAACCACATCAGGGACATCAGTGATTTTGGCCTCTTCGGGCCCTCCTGGGGTTCCTCTTGACGCCCTCTTGGGCCGTCTTGGGGGCCTCTTGGGATGTCTTGCTGTCATCTTCGGATGTCTTGGGGCCATCTTGGTCCGTCTTGCAGACACCTTGGGCTTCTGGGCGGCTGTCGGGCCATCCTGGCGACTGGGGTGGCTTTCCTCGGCCGTCTTGGGAGCGTCGCAAGCTTTGGAGAGGCTGCGTGCTCACTCTCTGCTCGTCGTCCTCCTATTCCTTCTTGCTGTTTCGGCAGGACGGTGTCAGTTCCGAGGGCTCCGACAGACCTCACACCTAGGTAACAGTCGGGGCCCCTCCACTTGGCCCTCTGACGAGTGGGTCTCCAGAAGGTCGCAGTCAAGCAACAATCCGGCCGAAACGGCTTTGATCCTGGGCCTCATCGGGAGAGATCCGGCTTGATGGCCCTCCACTCGAGCTTGAGAGCCCCCAGTCGTTCTCGCGACGAATCTCCCAGGATCTGCCTCCCAACAAGTCGGTAGCCATTTTGGTTCAGGGCCGCTTCGCTCAACCACGAGTGCTCCAGGGATTCTTTTCTCAAGCGATTTTGGGGTGGACCTTCCACGCTGGAGCTCACCACATGCCTCGATGAAGGGCGGCCGAGTCAGGGGCAGCGCTGGAGGCAGCATAGCAGTACACTGTTTACCGCCATGTTGAAGAGTGCACACTGTGCACACATCATAGGCTGTCTTCGCATCTTTCAAGCATCACGGCTGCACTGCTCGCGCACAGTCGCGGATTATCCTACGCAGCGCGGTCTTTGTTCCGATGGGGTTCCTGCGGTGAGCTCTCGCGGTCGGATAAAGTCTAGATCTGGGAAGATATCGTATGGCTATATCGCAGCAGATGGATATTGTGTGACTGCGGTCGGGGGAAAGATGGCCCTGGTTCATCGCTTGGTGGCCCGTGCATTCCATGGCCCACCACCCACAATCCAACACTGCGATGTGCACCACATTGACGGCGTTCGCAGCAACAACGACTTGCAAAATTTGGAGTATGCGACCCGCAGCCAGAATATTTGGTTCTCCTGGCGGAACAACCCCAATCGGGGCAGTTCTGCAAGTGCTCTTTCAATGCCAGTTAGGGGTAGACCACTTGGAGTTGAAATGTGGCGCCATTTCAAGTCCATGCGAGAAGCAGAGCGGATGACAGGAGCGCCCAACGTTGGACTTTGTTGCGCTGGGGCGTGCAGGCAATCTGGAGGTTGGGAGTTCCAGCGCGTTGAGTCCACTGGTATCCACGCCCTACAGGGAGAGCAGTGGGCAGACGCGCTTCATCCAGACACTGGAGTTCTTCTGCTGGGTTGGGAGATCAGCTCATTCGGGCGAGTACGTTCATCGCGTGGCCACGTCTCTTGGGGCACTTTGTCTGCATCCGGTTACCGTTCCGTCGGGGTTTCAGTAGAGGGCCACACGAAACGATTGATGGTCCATCGAATTGTCGCGCGCTCGTTCCTGAAACCAGGGCCCCCCTTAGGCAACTGGGTAGTCAATCATAAAGACGGTGACCCGAACAATAATCGTATGGATAATTTAGAGTATGCGACGCATTCCGAGAACTTACTCCATTCGTATATGACCAATCGGAGACGGCGGAGCAACCGCGATGCGCTTGCAAAGCCTATCTGGGGGCGACCGGTTGGAGGTGAATTTTGGCAGAGGTATTCTTCCGGAGTGGACGCTGCCAAGCTTTTGGGTCTCTCGCCAAGTGCAATTTCAAGTTGTTGTAGGGGCCAGTGCCTCCAAACAAAAGGATTCGAATTTAAGTTTGCAGCTCCAGCTATCCCTGATGTGCTCGAGGGCGAGGAGTAGAGAGTCCTACCATCGGCGTGCTAGCCAAGACACCATCGGGGCTTTAGTGTGTGACGAACAAAAGGCTGCCTCCCCACAAGCGAGGGGTGGCGGAGGAGCGCCGCGCCCCCGCGCAGGCTCTGGAGCTGGCGCTGCTGGGCGCCGACGGCTGGGCCTTCGCGGAGGAGCCCTCCGCCGCCCGCCTCCTGGGCCCGCAGCTCCCCGTGGGCCTGGGCTCCTCCTCGCCCTCCTCCTCCTCCTGCTTCTTCTCCTCCTCCTCCTCGCTGTCCTGCTCCCCCTCCTCCTCCTCCTCCTCCTCCTCCTGCTCCTCCTCCTCCTCCTCCTCCAACTCCTCCTCCTCCCCCTCCTCCTCCTCCTTCTCCTCCTCCTCCTCGTCCCGCTCCTCATCCCCGTCCTCCTCCCCGTCCTCCTCCTCCTTCTCCTCCTCCTCCTCCTGCCCCTCGTCCTCTTCCGCGTCCTCCTCATCCTCGTGCTCCTCCTCCTCCTCCTCCTCCTGCTGCTCCTCCTCCTCCTCCTCCACCTCCTCCTCCTCCTCCTCCTCCTTCTCCTCCTCTTCCCCCTCGTCCTCCTCGTCGTCCCCCTCCTCCTGCTCCTCGTGCTCCTCCTCCTCCTCCTCCTCCTGCTGCTTCTCTCCTCCTCCTCCTCCTCCTCCTCCTCCTCCTCGTCCTCCTCCTCGTCCTCCTCCTCCCCACCCTTCTTCTTCCTCCTCCTCCTCCTCCTTTTCCTTTTCCTCCTCCTCCTCCTCCTTTTCTTCTTCCGTATCCATTTTAGCTCAAGAGTTTCCCGAGCATTCTCTTTGGATGGAGGGCAAAGGGTGAAATCTGAAATGCCGTTTCGATGGATTTTCGAGGCTTGAATCTGCAAAAGGTGAATCACAAGACGGATTGGTTTTCAAGGTGCAAAAGCCCATATGGATTTCACCCTGAGCCCTCCACCCTAAGAAAATGCTCAGGTTTCTCCCTCGGCCGCGCGGGCGCGCGCGCGAGGGTGTGCGGGCGGGGCTCTCGCTGGCCTGTGCGTCGCGCGCGGCGGGACGCTGCGCGGCAGGCCGGGGATGGCAGGCTGACTGCCGCCTACCGCCGCGTCGAGGAGCTGGAGAGCATCGTCAGGGCTTTGGAGGATCGGCTCGACGTGGAGGGGGCTGCAGGCCACTGCGGACCAGGCCGTGGCGTTGGTTGAGTCGCAGGGCACCATCGCAGCGCCTGACGCGGCCCTTGTTGGGGAGCTGGTGCCCAGACTGGCCCTTGTGGTGCCGATCTTGGAGGGCGTCCTGGCAACACGCAGGCGTGCAGTGCCTGCGACGGTCATCGCGTCGGCGGGGATGCTGCAGCTCAAGCGGTGGCAGCGGCAGGGGCGCGGCCGGGGGCTCGCCGCTCGCAGCCGAGGGCCTCGGCACTCCATCGGGCGGGGGCCCGCGAGGCTGGGCGCGTCGGGAGCCCTTGGGAGTCCGCCCTCGGTGGGCCTCCCTGGAAGCTGACGCGCTGCGCACGCTGCGCGTGGGGGAGGCCGCGACCCGAAGCAGGCGCGGGCGCCGAGCGTGGGCGCCGTGTACCGCCGCTTGCCTGCCCAGCGGTCGGCGGCTGAGAGCGTGCCCACTGACTGGGCAGCAGCTGTGCGGAGGCGCGGGCTCAGCGTACCCGCGCGGGCCAAGTTCTGCCTCGCCGAGAGGGTCAGGAAGGCGGACGCCCGCGTCCTGACGGGCTTGACGTCGGGGCCCAAGTTCTGGCCCGAGGCGCTGGAGAGCTTGGCCGCGATGCTGGCGGCAGACTTGGGATCGTGCCGAAGGTCGAGGGCGAGCACGTGGTCTCGGAGAACGTGGCCGAGTTCGTGCCTGCCGCGCGCTGCGACGACGCGGAGATCAAGGAGGTGCCGCCGAACGTCCTCGGCCAGTAGCAGGTGCTGGAGATTTGCGGCCAGAAGCATGAGCTGGAGGACGAGGAGTTCTTCGAGAAGGACTTCGGCACGCCCGAGGCTCTTGGCGACGAGCTGCACACGCGGCGCGGCGGCGACGTGCTCTCGGAGCCCTTCGGCCCGCTGAGCTCCTTGGGGAACCAAGGCATTCAGCTGGAGGGGTAGGTGGAGCAGGTGAGCTTCGGCGACGTGCTCTCGGAGTCTATCGGGGTGCGGAGCTCCAAGGGGCACCAGGGCAGGCAGCTGGAGAAGCATGAGGAGAAGGAGGAGGTCACCGAGGCCGTCGGCAAGGTGCGGCCCAAGGCGCTGCAGCGGCACACGGCGACGAGCTGCGACGACACCGACTTCGACCGGGACCTTCGGAGGCCAGGCTGGCGCATGGAGGCCGGGGCGGACAGTCCGACGCCCGCCGCGGCGGCAGAGCGTCGAGCGGGGCTGGCCTGGCTTCGTGGCGTCCGCGAGGCCCGTCTATCCATGAGTGAGGCTTGGATCAATGGCGATGTCGATGATCAGGGCGGCTGGGTCGCGAAAAGGGCCCTGGATCGTTATCGTCGGGCCACGGGTCGCCGCTGACCCTGGCGAGTTTTGCCTTTTGTGCAGTCGGTGCCGGGCTGCAGGAGGCGTGTTGGAGCAAGGGGCTTTGGACGCGGGCGTGCCAGTTTCTGGCAGTGTGTGCGCAGAGTACCCCTCGGGGTTAAGCGGCCCATCCCCCGTCGCTAGCCAGCGGCTGATATGGGACGAGGGAGGGACTGCGCCTTTTGGGGTTCCTCGCCTTTTGCCCCCGTGGAACCCCCAGGTCAGGTGAGGAGCGGGTTCGACAGCTTGGCCGTGCGGCCTTGCGACGCGACCTCGACCCGCTCTCCGAAGAAGCAGGCCTCTTTAGTTTTTGGGCCTGGGCGAGCCCCGCCGCTGGCCTCTGGCTGGGATAGGTCCCTTTCAGCCAGGGTGACAACAAGTTCTCCTTCGACGGGCTCGCCCAGGGTTGTTTGGAGGCCTGGACCTCGTTTTTTGTTGTTGTTCATGATGTCCTCTCTCTCTCTCTCTCTCTTTCTCCCTCTCCCCTCTTTTTCTCCCTCAGTGGCGTGCGATCCTCCTTTTCCTCCTCCTCCTCCTCCTGCTCCTCCTCCTCTTCCTCCTCCTCGCCGTCCTTCTCCCCTCCTCTTCCTCCTCCTCCTCCTGCTCCTCCTCCTCCTCTTCGCCGTCCTCCTCCCCCTCCTCCTCCTCTTCCTCCTCCTCCTCCTCCTCCTTTTTCTCCTCTTCCTCCTCCTGCTCCTCGTCCCCGTCCGCCTCCTCCTCCTCATTCTCTCCACCTCCTCCTCCTCCTCCTTCTCCTCCTCCTCCTCCTCCTCCTCCTCCTCCTCCTCCTCCTCCTCCTCCTCCTCCTCCTCCCCCGACCCCATCCCGTTTTGACAAAATTCATGTCGGAAGGTTTCTGCTGCTTTCGGCTTTTGGGGGCCTTCCTTCGCTGGGCTTCAGTTCAGGGCCCTGACAGAAACGGCTCAGAATGAAAACCAGTCCTGGGGAAGGGGGGTCCAGACCGTTGGGGGTCAGGGCTCCTGCTCTCAGCACCGTCCTCCTTATCGCCCTCTTCGTGGGCTCTGGCCAATGGCCTTGGAAGCTTCCCGACGCAGGCCAGCGTAATTCAGGAATGGCAGTTCGGCTTCAATCCAGCAGCTTGACTTTGGCACATGGTCATGCCCATGCTCATATTCATACTCACAGTAATCTCTCGTCCGTCCCTTCGCCCTTCTCTCTCTCCCTCTCCCTCCCCCTCTCCTCTTCCTCGTCGTTTTCGCCGTCGTCCTCCTCCTCCGCCTCCGCCTCCGCCTCCGCCTCCGCCTCCGCCTCCGCCTCCTCCTCCTCCTCCTCCTCCCTCCTCCTCCTCCTCCTCCTCCTGTCACGCTTCGCCTCCTCCTCCTCGTCCTCCTCCTCCTCCTCCTCTGCCACGCTCCTTCCCCTCCTCCTCCTCCTCCTCCTCCTCCTCCTCCTCCTCCGCCTCCTCCTCCTCCTCCTCCTCCTCCTCGCGTCGCGGCTCGGGCGCCGAGTCCTAGCCAGGCAGGCACCCCAGGGCAGCTCCAGGGGCACCGCACCCCGGACCCCCGACATCCGGAGGCCCGGTGCGCGGCGTCTGGGGCGCGCCCCTGCCGTTCTCCTGGCACGGCGCGCGGCTCCGCAGCACGACTCCTCCCAGGCACTTGGGATGCGCGCGGGGTCGGGGCGCCGTCCGGCCTCGCCGCCGCGGCCCCGTCGCGGATGGAGCCCTGGGGCGGCCGGGGGGGGGCAGGATATGCTGGGCGAGGTGGCGCGGGGATGCGTGGCAGGAGGTCGCCCCGCCCCGGAGCAGCAGGCGCAGGGGGTGGGGGTCGAGCGGCCGAGATGGGGGGGTGGGGGGAGGCAGGGGGGGTCAAGCGGCCGAGAGGGGGAGGAGGGGGGAGGCGGGGGGGAGGGAGGGATGGGGGGGGGAGGGGGGTCAAGCGGACGAGAGGGGGAGAAGGGGGGGAGGGGGGGAGGGAGGGAGGGAGCTCGGATCATGGAGCACAGATTGGCCCGGGCCCGAGGGCCCAGGTCTGGAGCTGGAGGCGGCGAGGCGCAGGTGTGCACCGGCCGACGCCTGCGGGCACCACGCGCGGCAAAGTACGGGCTCAATGGCAGCAGCAAGTCGTTGCGGGGGGCGGGAGTATGGTTGTGTACCGTTCGTCCGTCATTGTGGAGTGGACTTGGCCTTGGGACGCAGACGGTGACGCAGTCGCCGACGCAGACGCGCGAGTCCGCCGGCCGGCGGGCCGGCGGGCCCCTTAGGGCCCGCGCGGGCGGGCCAGTGCCCGGTCACAGGCGCGTGAACTTCAAGAAGTCGCTCTGGAGGTCTGCCCAGAACTTGGCCTTGGGAGGGGGATTCGGCGGCAGGGGCCCAGCAGCCTTGGTACGGTCAGGAGCTTTGGCCTGATCAGCGAGTCGCGCCGCTGGTTCTGGCCCACCACGCCCTGGCGCGACACGCTATCCACGTCGCGGTCCCTGGGTGTCAGCTTGCCAAGCTTTCCCCGACCTCCAGGCCCGCGGACCGCAGCGACACGTTGTCCACTTGCAAGGCATAGCGTGTCGCCAGGACCCCCGCCGCGACGCGCTGAGGATAAGTTCCTGAACGTAAG